GACTCTTACATCCTTTCCTCCTCTTCTTCAATTTTCCCTGAGCTTTAAACATAGGGCTTGTATTGCAGATGTATATGGTGGGATTGGGCTCATAGTGGTCATATTTTCCCTGCATTTTGACCAGTTGGGAATCTCTGTAACAGTCTATCTTCTGAGGAAAAAATAAGCATCTTTGGTGAAGGGTGAGAGCTACATTTATCTGTGATTATGATTATAAGGATAGTTATTTCAAATATCGTTAGAAATTATGTAAGCTTATGAAAATGGCAGCAGTAGATTCTATAACCTCTAGGATCTATGACCACTTCAGCCATGGTTAGCTGTCTAGGTTTATAGTAACCATATGAATTCCCTCCCATTAAGCTGGCCTTAAGTCTATCAGACAGCTGTTGGTAATCCCCAAGATAAAAGTGCCATCACTGCATTGTCATAGGTATCTTGATAAATGGTCACTGTTGTGATTTTGTAGGCTTCACATCTGGGTGAAACTATCTTTGTGCCTCCCTCTCTCTTAGCAGCTTCCAAAATGATGAAAGCCAGTCCTTAAGGGGGAGACTTCAAGATCAGTTTGCTTCTTCAAAGTCCTGTATCTTACGTGTGTGGTGTCTTCAGCATTAAGGTCTTACCTTCAAGTTTTGGAAGGCAGCTAAGGGCAATAGCAAAAGCCTATATTGTTTTAGGAATCTCTTGTCAATACTCCAAGTCAAGGGGTGATTTTCTGGTCTGGCACTGGGATTTTTGTCCAGCCTCAGATGTCTCTCCCTAGACGTGAACTCATATCTGTCCCTGTTAATGTTGCCTTTGATTCTTTCAATTATATACCCAGGAGCAAGCAGCATGACTGGGTCATATAGATCTATCTTTAGTTTTGTTAAAAAGATTCATGGCTCTTCAAGGAAGGACCATCACCCTGTGTGCTCTCTCTCTCTCTCTCTCTCTCTCTCTCTCTCTCTCTCTCTCTCATACACACACACACACACCACATATACACTTACCTTTCAGATCTTTCAGATTCTGGTCAGTTAAGGGTCAGTTAAGCAGGTGTGTGTGTGTGTGTGTGTGTGTGTGTGTGTGTGTTGGTGTGCATATGAAGGTCAAATGACAAATTTCAGTTGATTCTCTGCTTTTACTAAGTGGCCTCCAGGGATGACACTCAGGTCCTCGGGCATTGGTTAAGTGCTCTACTGGGCTGTTTTTTAAGTAACCCACGCTGTCCTTGAACTCATGGCAATGCTTTTGCCTTAGCTCCCAAGGGCTGGGATAATAGATACAGAGCACCACACTTGGCATTGCTTTTCTTTTCTTGGTAATAGCCATTCTGCTTAGGGCAAGACAGAATCTCATTGTAGTTTTGATTTGTATTTTCCTGATGGCTAAAGGTGTAGAACACTGAAACTAGATTCCTACCTCTCAGCCTGTTCAAATATCCACCCAAGAAGGTCAAATACTACAAGGTCAAACCTGAAATTTTGAAAGCATTAGAGGAAAAACAAAACACCACAAGACATGGATGTAAGCAGACTTTCTCAAAAAGGCTGTAACACCAGTGTCACATTTCCTGCACGTAGTTTATGAGTGTGGCTGTACATAAAAATATGAGGATGAAGACCAGGAGATGCCAGGAACATGGGACAGTCACCAAGGGAAACGGCAAGTGAGGTCATGTGTGCTACAAGCAGCAGAGCCATAAGGGTGGCACTATCTGAGTCTTGTGGAACCCAGATAATACCACCATGCCCCCAAATGCCAGATGTGAGAGCATGGGCATTGATTTTTCCCATGCTGGGTTCAGTCTTGCTTTGGTCTAGTATTCCTTGCTATGTCCCCATTTTCCTCTTTGGAGTAGGGATGGTTACTCTGTGCCAATGTATATTGAAAATCTACACACATTTGTTTTTTGTAGAGGCTCACAATTAATATATGGCAGCAAGAAATTAAACTAGGCTTGGGATGGAGGGGCCACAGCCAGACTGAGGTTGTGACAATTTAATTGAGAGCAATCAGACTTTTTATATGTCTATCAGAAACAGAATATATTGCCAATTGCCAGGATCAATGCAGTTGTAGTTGGCAGAATACTATGGTGTTTACAAGCTATACCGGGTACACAAGATTAATGTCTAAGATCAATTGTCCCACCAAGCTTCCATGCTTCCTTGACTACTAAGAGATCATACAGAGAAACACAAAACATGAACACTTCACTGCCTGACAGATTGCCTCAGTTTCTCAGGAACTGAAAGGCACATAGTGCCCAGGAGTTATAGACTCCATCCTGAAAAACCTATGCCGAATGCCTCTCAAGGCAGCTAGGCCAGGCCCCTTCCAGGGATATACCTCCTACAGCAAAGCCACGCCTCCTAACCCTCCCCAAACAGCTCCACCAATGGGGGCAAAGTGGTCAAATGCTTGAGGGTCATTTCTCATTGGAACCACCACAGAACTCATGGGGCCAGACAATAGAGGAAAAGCATGGTATCCATTTGTATATCCATTGATGAGCCCACTAGGCTCTGATGGGTAATTCTAAATTCAGGACCACACAGGTGTTGCTGGAGTTTCTTTCCAGCCAGGTCCTGCCATCCTTCAGTTCCAATTCCTCAATTAGATCTATGGAACACTACACAAAACCAAAAATTAGTAAGCAGGCGAAAGACACTTATAACATTGGGGGAGGGGTGCTTTTAGAGGGTAGAAAGGAAATGGGAGGGGAGGACCAGGATACATAATATACACGTATGAAAGAAAGATTGATGGCCATGGGCCTATGGGGGAGGTAGGCTGGAATGTTATGGTTTCAACATAAAAATGTTCCCCCAGGCTTGTGTCCAAACACTTGGCGCCCAGCTGGTAGCAGCATTTTGAGACATGGGATCTTCTGATATGAGGTTTATCTGGCAGATGTGGCATCATAAGGCCACGGGGTGGCTGGTTCCAGAACTAATTCAGGTCTCCCTGACTAGTGTAACATGACAATCAGCCACAATATGCTGCCACCAATAGAACCACCTGGTGCCATGCCTTCCCACTATAACGAACTGCATCTCTCAGACCGTGAGCCAAAATAAATCCTTCTCCCTCATTGCTTTCATGTTCTTATCTTCTAATAAACCCATGTTACTTTTGCTATTCCAATTAAGAGACAGCATTCTAGCACACTCCCCGTTACATGCCTATCCCTTTTATTTTAGAATTTTGTTCTTGAAAGTCTGTTTGCATTTTTCATTCCAAAAGAAAATACGTTTACAAAACTATCTTAAATGTACCCTGCTGGGGGAAAAAGGCTACCAATAGTCTTACTAAGCCAGGGACCCTGCATGCTGCACTAATGACATGGAAAGCAAGACTGTTATAATCAACTTCTTACCGAGGCCCACTTCACAGGAGGGAATTCATGTCTGTTACTGCAAACCTAGCCAAAAGCGCATGGCTAAGGACGTCATAGACCCTGGAAGTTATGTATGCTAGTTAATTTTTTGTTTGCTTGGTAACTGAATACAAGCTGGAGTCATCTGGGAAAGCAGAACCTCAATTGAGAAAATGCTCCCCCCCCCCCAGGAAACTGGCCTGTAGGTAAGACTATGTGGCATTTTCCTGATTAATGATTGATGTGGGTGGGCCCAACCACTATAGGAGGCGCCACTCGCGTGCAGTGGTCCTGAGATATGTAAGCAAGCAGGCTGAGCAAGTCGTGGAGAGAAAATCAGTAAGCAGTGTTCCTACTTCAGTTCCTGCCTCCAAGTTCCTGTCATGAGTTCCCTTAGTGGTGGACTGTAAACTGTAAATTGGCATTTTTAAAAAAAATGTTATTGTATTGGTATTTTTGCCTTAGGCATGTCTGTGTGAGGGTACTTGATCCTGAAGTTAGACAGCTGTGAGCTGCCATGAGAGTACTGGGAATTGAACCTGGGTCCTCTGGAAGAGCAGCCAGTGCTCTTAACCACTGAGCCATCTCTCCAGCCCCCTCCCCCCACCCCCATAAACAGTAAATTGAAATAATCCCTTTTGTCCCCCAAGTTGCTTTTAGTTGTGGTGTTTATCACAGCAACAGAAAGAAAACAATGACATTATTAATGTTGCCAATCAAGACATGCCCACTTGTGAGTAGTTGCATGACTTACTGAAGTAACCACTTTCTTACTGAACTTGAGGGTCAGCTCCACAGAAGGAATTTAACCCTGGTACTGCAAATCAAGTCAAATGCCCAGGCAGGACCAGGATGTCACAGGCTCTACTACTGCTGCTTTGCTAAAAGTCATGCTGCCAAACTGTCTCGTAGCTATTTCTTTATAATCATAGAATATTGCTGCCCTCAGCCTTGATCAGAGAAGTTCCTGTCCACAACAACAATGATTAATGCAGACTCATAACTAGTCAAACAGGACATCTGTATCAAACCGCCCCTCCAAGGCTCAGAGAAAGTAGGAAGCAGATTCAGTACAAAGAGGTTCAGTGGGAGAGTGTTGGAATAAGAGAAGAAAATGGGAGCTATGGTAAATATGAAATTGTGAAAAAATAATTAGATCATGGATGAGAGAGGAGGTCATGAAGCCAACCCTTCCTAAGGAGCTACTGGCGGTTAATGGTTGCTGAGGGAAGGGGGGACATTTTCTTCACTAGTGTAGCTGCTGCTAAGTTGCCCATGATCCAGTCAATAACCCCACACTCACATGTTCATGTAAACAACTAAACTCAGTGGACCATCAAAACCCAAGAATACATTGAAGTAAAAGAAGAACTATTTGGGAAGAAGATCAGCAGGAGTGGGAGGAAGGCAAGAGAAGGTAATAGGGGTGGACATAATCAAAATGCATTATATTTGTGTATGAAATTTTTAAGAAATAATATTGTGAAGAAAAAATGCTTTAAAATGTTCCTCTCATTTTCCCAGCAACTCTTTAAGCATCTGCACTATAAAGTGATCCAAAACACAGCACAAGTCACAAAGATGTTAAGTGCCTAAGCAAAACGCTGGTAATTTAAATATCTAATACCGGGACTGGCTCAAAACAGTATGGTTTATTCAAACAGTGAATCATAAAGCCACTGATTTATTCCAAGCTTTTACAATATATCAAAGTATTTTAGTATGTACTATTTATAAGGTAGAATACAGAATTCTGTAACTGTCAATGTTATTTAAAATACTAAAAAAAAAAGACTAGAAAGAAACTAGAACACTGACATCAGTCATCTCTGTTCCTAATGTTTTCTTGACTTCTACAATGAGCTCCTTAGTCAGCAAAACAACACACTCTGTTTTTGTTGATTAAATCTAACAGGTACGTTCAAGACTCATTTACAGTTAGCTTCTGAGCAACATAAAAACTCAACTGTGAATACTAAAGCTAATTTTACTTCCTGGTTACATTTCATTTCCCTGATACTAGGACATATAATTTAAGAAACAATCAAAAGGAAACAAAAACTTGAATGACAATGAATTTTATAAATACATACATATACATAAAGCTAGAAAAAGATCTATAAAAATGATGACAGGAATTATTACTAGTAAAATTTTATGGCTTTTAAGTATCTATTTAGCTTAATTTTTATTATATGTTCTACAATGAACATGTTGCTTTCATAATAATAAAAAATGTTGGCCAACTTCCTAAAAAATAACTGCCAAGCAGATTCAGTATATGTATCAATGGACTATTAAAATGTTACAGAAAACATTTACTAATATGAAAGAAATTTTGATGTTAGTAGCTGACCACAGATCAGACAGTATGCTCAAAATGATCCCAATGTCATTTAAAAACAAACAAAAGCCTTTGAGTACATAAAAAACACCTACATATGAAATATACCAAAGCCTAGTGTTCAGGTGGTAGAATTGTACATATACATTTTAAGCCATTTCTGCATTGGTATTTTGGCCAATTTTCCTCTACTAAATATGAATTTTTTCTAATATGCAAAAAAAAAGCTTTAAAAAAAATCTAGGTTAAACAAGAAGTTATCTTAAGTAACAGGAACAGATGCTGATGAGCACAGAAAGGTCCTCTTACCCACACCAGTGTCAGTCAACAGGACACTTGCCTTCCAGCATCATAGGAGCAGTTGGCAAAGGCCATTCTTCCTGCTCATACTTCACCATGCTAATCGGATCACTGCTCCCTCGGCAGAGGCCACGGCCAATGACAGCACCAGGCACCTGAAACCTTGTGTTTGTCCCTTTTGACAGTGCTGGGAGTCAGATATCTTGGGGCCCTATATATGCTAGGTAAATGTTCACCACTGTGCCACATTCCCAACCTTGTACAGAGCCTCTAAGTCAGACCTGGTAGAGAGGGATCTAGAGGGAAAAAAGTAGAGCTGAATCTGATTACGAGTAAACATGATTTTCAATCAAGTGATTGTGGAAATGCACTATTTATATTGCACACAACACTCACTAGGGAATTCTACTCTCAGACCTGGTAAAATTCTGAGGTCATCAGAAGCCAATTTTCAAGACATTGCCTTCAAGAGTGCCCTGTCAATATTGACTAGAAACAGTATCAGAGATGTCACGCTAGAGAAGTAAACAGCTCAAGAGTCTAGCTTCCTGCTTATACAATCTGAAGTCACTTTACTGCTAGCCACAAAGTGAGTCAGCACTCTGATTCAGTCTGAGAATTTCTTGACTTTCCGTATACTAAATGAGACTACGAAGGACAGCTGTAAAGCCAGAAGATGCAGGAAGGACAGAAATAAATACCGACATGAGTCCTCCAGCCCAAACAATGAGATAGCTATGGAATTAGCTTATCAGTTCAATCTATTTCCAGATCGCTGTCTTCACTATGACAGGTGGCAGAGTTTCGCACAGATGTCAGCACCAAGACTTCCTTTTCTGGGAGTAATCCAAATTCCTGTAGGAAAGCTTCAAGGTCTACAGCAAAGAAATCTTCCCCCAGCTGGTCAGTGACACGAACAAAATTGCCAATCAATTCACCCGCCTTGTAGATGAGGAGAGCAGGAAGGGCATTCCGGGTAAAACGACTGCTGGCCCCAATAACCGAGCTCCTCACCCGGCAGAATTTGACAGCCGGGTACTCTGTGGCAAGGCAGATCATGCAGCCATTCATGGCTTCGGTCCCTGGGATGCCATCTTCATAAATATGAACCATGATAAGGGTGCTTTTTTGTTCTTTATCAATCATGTCTAAAAATCCTTCTCCACTGGGGATCTCAAAAACTTGCTTGAACTGGGGCCCTTTCTGAAACTGCTGCCGCATCTCTTCCATTCGCTGTTTCCGGTACTGCTGCAGAAACTCTTCGTCATCCAGGTTCTTGTCCACTGTAGCAAACTCCGTCAGAGTCATCTGCAGGAAGACCAGCAGGTGAACAAAGACAGACACTGAACAGCTTCGTTAATTCGGATACGCGCCCTGTACTTAGAATACATGAGGCACCATGTTAACTGTTTATTCTCATCTCTTTTATGTATAGAGGTGTGTTACATGTGTATCATGTGCATGCTGGTGCATGAGGAAACCAGAAGAAGGTACTGGATCCCCTGGAACTGAAGTTATAGAGGGTTCTAGGAACCAAACCTAGGTCATCTGCAAAAACAAGTACTTTTAATAGCTGAGTCATCTTTCCAGACCCTCTTGAACATTTTTAAAGGGCGTTTACGTTCAGGGGCAGGGAACCTGCCCATACATTGATGCTTCTGTGGAAGGTAGAGGACAACTTGCGGGAGTTAGCTCTTTACTACCATATGTGGCCAGGAATGCTTTCTTCCCCCGCTTTCTTTAAAACAGGGTCTTCTTATGCTGCCTGTACTAGCTCTGCCACGGCCTCCCAAGTAATTAAGACTACATGCCCTTACCATCACCCTTGAATCCACCTATCACTGAATTATCAAGTTAATTTCACAGGAAGAAATTTAAGAAATTTTATAAATGTAGGCTTAAGCCCATGACTTTACGTTATTTGCACGAATTCACACAAGACTAGGATTCAAAGCGGACTGTTTAAAGATGTATTTTTATTGTTTTACTTATGCATGTATGTGTCTGTGTGGGAGCATGTGCACATGAGTGCAGGTGGGAAGAGCTGAGAAGACGGTGTCCGAGCCCCAGGAGCTGGAGTTACAGTTTAAACCCAACACGTGGGTTCTGGGAACCACACTGGGGTCTCTTAAGAGCAGTGCCGGTTACTCTGCACTGGGCCATCCCTCTAGCCCCTTACACTGGGCTTCAGAAACTCAGGTTTTTAACTACAATACCATATTGCCTCTCATTCCAAAAGAGGCACCATCACACAGTATCAGTTCTCTGATGGACATTCTTTGTGTCAGTCTCAACAAGGGTTACTTTAGTCACTTTATCCTTTTCTGAAAAGACAACACAATTAAACTTCCAAAGGAACACACCTCATTGCTGCACTGCACACAATTGATACAAACTCTAAATTTTTTTTAAAGATTTATTCATTTTATGTGTGAGTGTTTTAACTGCCTGTATCTATGTACACCAAGTGAGTGCGCGATACCTTCAGAGGTCAGAAGAGGGCACCAGATCTCCTGGAACTAAAGTTATGGATGATTGTGAACCACTATGTAGGTGCTGGGAATCAATTCCAGGTCCTCTGCAAGAACGTGCACACGTAACCACTGAGCCAGCTCTCCAACCCCAACCTTTTCTTTTTTGAAACAGTTTCCCTGTGTAGAATAGGCTAGCCTGGTACACACTACATAGAACAGACTGACTTTAAACTCCCAATCCTCCCATCTTAACCTCCCATGAACTACCGGGCCCAGCTTTTTTATTTGCTAGTCAACTGACTGTAGTTGACTTAAGCTTCTGGAGCAGTAGCTGTGAGTATCTCGTAACCTGCTTTTGCCTCTGGTTAACAACACTTTATAATGACCAGGTGTGCTGGTACACACTTTTAATCCCAACACTCAGGAGGCAAAGACACATAGGTAGATCTCTGTTAGCTATAGCCTGGTTTACACAGTGAGTCTAGGCCAGCACAGTGAGACTCTTTCACAGAACAAAACAATAACAAAAACCATTTCCTCATGTTTCCAAATACTTTTATATATTGATATACATATGTATACTTAACCTTTCCCCCGGCCTCATTTCTACTAAGCAGGAAGCTTCCAGTTCTGGTCTACTGCAGGCAACTCAACAGGATAGGGACAGAATCTCTCAAATCTAACGTATGTGGTCATGTGACTGTTGCTTCATTCTGGTCTCAGTGGCTGTGAACAGTAGGCACAGTGTACTGCAGCCAGTTTCCCCAACAGACACCTTCTTCCTCCTGGCCTGGTGCAGCAAAACATCTCTGCCTAATCTAGCAGAGACTATGGGTGGTAACGAGGGAGCACACCGAGAACAGAACACTGCATCAGCGCTGTGTCATAACTAACCAGCACCCTCTGGACTCTGTCTTAGTACCAATCTTCTTCCCATCTAACCTGAGACTGTCTTGCTTGGCCAATCTAACTGGGTCTTTTAGCTGATAAGCCTTTGTCTAGGCTTGTGTCCTGAAATCATGTGAATGTGTAGGTGCATGTGCTTCAGTATGCAGGACAGCTCTATGGAGCTGGTTCTCTCCTCCACCTTTACATGGGCTCACGGCTTCTGGTGAACTCAGGTCACCAGGTTTGCACAGCAAGCACCTCTCCCCACTGAGCCTTCTCACTGGCCCCGGTGCTTGATATTTTTAGCGTTAAGCCACAGCTAATTGATCTCAGGCACTCCAGGACATTTCTTCCTTGGCCAGAGGGAACAAGAGAGACCTTTAATTCTGATAAGGTAGGAAGGTGTCGGAGACCCTGGGCTCAAATATCTTCTAGAATGTAGGTTCTACTGTACTGTCTCCACAAAATAAATGCTCAAGAATATGATTAAGAAACTAATATATACTCCACACTTTCAACAAGCCAGTCCCTAAGATGGGTATTTGACCTGCAGAACCCTGGGGAGAGAAGGGTAATGACCTCATTTAGCCAATGCTAGCTGAGACCAAGTCCAGATGCACCCTGAATTAGGACAGGGCTCTCCCCTTTGCCCTGCACTGCAAAGCGTCTCAGAATCAGCAAGCCCACTTCCGGCAGCCACGGAAGCATCTGAAGATGCCATTTTTACCTTCCCACTGATTTTCTCTTGGAGGTCCTTCTGTTTCTTTTGCTCCTCTTCTTCGTCTAGACTGGACCTGCACGTCATAGACAGCTTTTTGATCAGCCGCTCCATCTCCCGGCACTGCTCCTCCCTCTGCTCTGTCTCCAGCTGCTTGAAGCGGCGCCAGTCATTGATCACACCTTTTGGACCTGAGTAGGGCAAACATGACCAAGAGCGGGCAGGCGCTTTGGACCAGCTGACATCTGTAAGCAGGGGCTTACATCCGCATGAAGCTTGCTCTACCTACGACACAGCAGGAGCATCCATATACCCTTCACAGGGCAGAGTGTTCTACGTACAGTGAGGTCTACTACAGCATTGCTTGCAAGAATTAAATGGCCAACCTAATGCCCAACATTGGACAAATTATGATTCATCCATCCAAAGGTAAATAAAGAAACATTTACGAAGAGCAAGGTAATTCTAGACAGTTTGCTGGCCCATACCTGCAATGCAAGCATTCCACAGTCAGGAAGAGCACATGTTCACGGTCAACCTGAGCTATAAAAAGATCCTTCCTTCAAAAACCAAGAGCTGGGAATACAGTTCAGCTGTAGAGTACTAACCAAGCATTCGCAATGCCCTGAATTTGATCCCCAGCACCAAAAGGCAAGAGAGGGAAGGATGGGAGGAGTCTACATTTCTTGACATGAAAGATACTCCAAAAATATTAGGGAAAAAGAAAACAAAACAAAGACAAGCTAGGCATAGTGGTGCATGCCAGGAGTATGCCACGAATCCCTCCTAGAGAAGCTGAGGATCACTTGGGATCAGGAGTTCAAGGCCAGTCTGGGCAACACAGTGAGACTCTAAAAAGAAAACAAAAATGGCTATTTCTTATCCAACAAGATGTTACCAATGTAGAAAGTTGTTAACACAGTAGAAGAAAAAGTGTAAGGAAAAACATTGTATTGCTGGCTGAACTTAAGCACCACCTCAATTTACAGCACTGACAATATTGGGCCATGAAAGTGGCCTAGCGATGTAGCTCCGTGATAGAGCACTTGCATAGCATGAAGGAAGCCCCTCTGGGAAGTTAAAAACCAAAGACAATACACAGTAGTGTAAGAGGCAGTCCAAGCCTGGCAACCTGAGCAAACTCCCTGGAATTTATCTGCAAAGGTAGGAGAGTCAACTCCAAAGGCTCGCCTATCATTTATGTACTGTTTTGGAGTATGTGCTCGTGCACACTGATCACGCATATACATACGATAATAGATTATCATTTGAAAACTAATAGTGTACACATGCCATTTCTAGGAATGAGTTCCACCAGTCCACTCATAGGTAGGACTTACGGGTTCTCAGACCCTGCCCAGCCATTCCCGGCCATGCTGATGCATTACAGATTTGCGCTGTACAGAGGAGGGGCTAGGAGCAAGCATAAGGAGCAACACTGGGAGGTCTCTGGAGTTGCACAAAGGAGAGCAGGAGCTTCTAGTCGACGCACACTTTACAGGGCACTTTTTCAGTTTCTAGAGCGCAGAACCTTCCAGTACCTGTATTGATTGAAATGCCTTCGCCGGCCAGCTCAGCCTCCACAGGTATGGAGCTGCTGGCTGGGGCTCCGCTGCCTCTGTCTCCGTCTTCGTGGTCACTGTCCTCATCCTCGCTGGTGCTGTAGTAATACTGCAGCTTCTCCCCCAGCAGCTTATCATCCATGGTTGTCATGGTGCCTGGAAGAGGACACCGTATCAGGGAATTCTTTGCTGGCTTGAGCAAGGACATGAATCTGAACCATAGGAGGTGCACTTGTGCTGACACCCGATACCCACAGTGTTTTCATAAGCGGAATTTCAAAAAAACCCAACCCTGCCTTCATGCCACAGTTTACCATGCTTCTGTTACAGAAAGCAAAACTGAGGCCTAGATCAAAATTATTTTTTCCCAAGCTCAGCAACAAATCTGCTAACAGATCGTAGATGCCTGACTCTGGGAGCCTGGGAGGCATGCTCCTGTCTAACTGTGTGCATGGCTGGTAGTTTTCACTCATATGCACTTTCAGTTTTAAGATTTCTAGCTAACAAACTGGGGAAATCCTCAGGGAAAACATCAAAAGGGACCACCATGGGCATAGTGTTGAAACTAAGTCGTTCACTCGTCTGCCTCACTAAGCCTGGACATAGCATCTCAAGCTGGACCAATGCTGACTAGCTAAGCAAGTCTCCACACAAGATTCAATCAGTAACCAAATGTTTGAAGAACACCCAAGACCCAGCTAGTTGAGGGAAAAGGTAGAACTCAGTTCCTTAAAAGTCTGATGATCCAGCAGGAATGATTACAAGAAACTACTCTCTCTGGGTGTGGAAGAGCACACCTTTGATCCCAGCACTTCCGAGGCAGGCAGAGCTCTGTGAGTTCAAAGCCAGCCTGGTCTACAGTGCACGTTCCAGGACAGCCAGGGCTACACAGAGAAACTGAGTCTCAAGCCCCACTGCCCTCAAAAAACGGAAGAAAGGAAAAAGCATACAAACCTCCTCCAAGCATACAAACACATGGCTTTTACACTACTACAATGTGCTTCTCTCCCACAGAGCAAAACCCAACAGTCAAGACAAAGCACTGTGCAGACCGAAGGAGAGAAAACTTAAAAACAACAACAACCAAACAAAACCAACTCTGTGTCAGAGATGTACCAGAAGGCCCCAACGCGGTCCCTGAGAGATCAGAGATGCGCGAGCCAGGGCCAGAAGGCGTGTGCTGAGGAGGCTGAGCTGGCAGAGAGAACGCCGTGCACAGAGCAGAAAGTGACCCTTAGGCGGGAAGAGTACGGATGGAGTGGAGGACCGTGAGGACGGCGGAGAGACGGGCATGGCAAGAGAGGGGCTTGCGGAAGAGGCAGGAGAGAGGAGGGCAGGGCTGAGGAGGAGGAGCAAAGAGGGGTGGGGCGAGGCAGAGCTCAGCGTAGGAGACCAGGCGCCGGGAGGGACAGCGAGCCGAGCTGTGAGGAAGGGGTTGAGAAGGCGAAGCCATACGGGGCGGGGCAGAGAAGGGTTCCCTACGGAAGGCGGGGCCAGGCTAGCGAAGCCGCGGGGAGGGGCGGGGTCGGGAGGAGAGCAGGGCGGGGCTGAGGAGGCGGGGCGGGGCGGAAGCTGGGCCCGGGAGGGGCTCAGCGAGGAGAGCGGTGCGGAGGAAGGGCTCGCGGAGTCCCGAGGGAGACCAGGGGAGCCCGGAAGCAGGAACCAGGGGCCCGGAGGCAAAGGAGTTCAGCCCCGGGCGCGCAGCCCCGGCCCCGCCCACGTCCAGGCCCGCCGCTCCGTCCGGCTGACGCCCGTGCACTTACCTCGCTCAGCCGGTCCCTCTGGCCTAGCAGCTCCAGGCGGAGAAGGCTCGCTAGGAGAAAGAAGCGCCTGACTGAACACCTTGGGCGGCGGAGAAAGGCTGCCGAGAGTGCACCCTGCGGGCCAATCAGGCGGCCTTCCGGCGTCACGGGGACGCGCGCTGCCCAATCACAAGAGGTTTATCCCGGCGTCTGAGGAGGAGCTACTGGTCCTATTTTAGGACAAAACACTTCTGACATTAGGTTTGAGCTATGAATTTTTAGCTTTGGCCAATGAGAAAATTTTATCAACCTTCCAAGTTTTGAAAGAAGTTCCAAATGCGTTCTTTGTTTTTTTTTAAATCATGTCTATTAAAACGAAGTGACTCAAAAACATTCATTTTGACCGGGCGGTGGTGGCACACACCTTTAATCCCAACACAGGACAAAGAGGTAGGCGGATCTCTGTGAGTTCGAGGCCAGCCTGGTCTACAGAGTGAGTTCCAGGACAGCCAGGGCTGTTACACAAAGAAGCACTGTTTTGAAAACGAAAACAACAAGACATTTATTTCTTCAAGAACAAGTAGCCCAAAGAACAGAAATTAAAAAATACAAACGCAAATCCTTGACAACCAAAAGCTGTGTGACACCCTGAACTTGGTTACTGGACAGGAAAAGGGCATGGACAACTAAAGAATTTGAATAACTCCTATCAAGTAATATCAGTTAAATAGTTGGCATAATTTATTACATTCATGTACGGTGATAACCTGCAAAGATTCTAAATGAAGAAGTCAAGAAAGCTACACTATTTCTGCAAACTTTTGTTAAACCTCATATGGTTTCAAACTGTGAGCCTTAGGGTGTCTAATACACAACTGTGAAATCGCTCCTTAAAAATCATGCACAAATTAAATCATATAAAATATGCTAGATTTATATAAAATACACTGCTTAAAATAGGGCTCCTAAACCGGGCAGTGGTGGTCCACGTCTTTAATCCTAATACTCGGGAGGTAGAGACAGGTGGATCTCAGTGAGTTTGAGGTCAGCCTGGTCTAAAGAGTGAGTTCCAGGACAGTCAGGGCTAGATATAGAAACCCTATCTGGAAAAACCAAAAATAATATAAGTAGGGCTCCTAACTTAAAGAGAGAGGTTCTCAATTTATGGTTTCAGGATCACCTAAATATGACTGCAAATTTGTCTATGTGCACATTTTCTATAGGCTATCAGAGACAGCGTCTTCCAGCTTACCCCCCGCCCAACACACACACCAATTTAAAGCAATTCATTTAAAAAGCTCTTTGGGAGCTTTTATATTTTTGTCTGCAGAATAAATACCTTGTTTTTCAGGTGTGTGTGCATAGTAGATTTTTATGTTGGTGATCTGCTGTAAGTGACACAGCCAGCCCTCAGAAAGAGTGCCTCTGGAAAAAAAAACCCTATAAATATTTTTAATGAATATGCTTGAGGGCCAGTGAGCTGGCTCAGGCAGCAAAGGTGCCTGGAGACCTAGTCCAACCCCTGGGACATGCACGGTGGAACGCAAGAACTGGCTCTGGAAAGATATCCTCTGTCTGCCACACAGTGTCATTCCCCACCAATGTAAATAAATGTAAAAAGTGTTTTACGTATATACTTAGTAAACACTTTAACTTTACTTTTTTAGTTCTCCCTAATGAGGTCATACTCTTCATCTGTAGCAATGCTTCGTCCTTTAAAGTTCACGTCAGTGCTGCCCAACAATCCTCCCCTTCCTTAGGCAATTTCTCCTCTCACTTTAAGAGAAGCAATCCATATCTTTTTAAATTTACTTATCATGTATGCCGTGTTCTGTCTGCATGTTTGCCTGCACACCAGAAGAGGGCGCCAAATCCCATTACAGATGGTTGTGACCCACCATGTGGTTGCTGAGAATTGAACTCTGGGCCTCTGGAAGAGCAGCCAGTGCTCTAAACCTCTGAGCCATCTCTCCAGCCCCAATATTCTTTATAAAAATATTTCCCTTGTATTTAACTTCCAAGAAACGTAAGTGTAGCTACTAATCATTGCTTTAATAAAGTACCCTGGTAACACTGTAAGAAAACAACAAACACGATAGCAGGTTTATGTGGCTCAGGAATCGGGGCCTATCTTCTTTGTTGCTGTCCTTGCTCAAGGTTTCTAGGATGCTGAAGTCAAACTCATTGGAGCATCAGCTGGGGTGGGGCAATAGGGCAACAGAGCAGAAAGTCACTATCAAGCTGGCACTCGTAGTTGATGGCTAATTTGGCTGTTTAACCATGGCTTTCTCCAGAAACTTTTTACTTTCCCTTGTGTGTGGTGTGTGCGATGTGCACACATGCACATAAAAAGAGTGAAGGCTGACTTCTAGAGTCTTCCTCAATCTTTATTGTACCCATTGAGACAGGGTCTCTCACTGAACCTGGAGCTCCTGATATGGCTGGTTTGGATTTATCAGCTTTTGCTAGGATCCCATCTCCATCTTCCAAGTACTGGAATTATACAAATGGGCCACCATGCCTCCCAGCTTTCAGAGATCTGAGCAGCATGAGTGCCTTAACTGCTGACCCATCTCTCCAGCTCTTTTTCTTTGGTTTTGGTTTTGGTTTGAGTTGAGGATTTTGTTTGTTTGTTTTGGGGGGTATTGTTTTGATTTGGGGGATCTTTTGAGACAGGAGCCTCACTTTGCATCCTCAGTTGACCTCCTAAATACTGGGATTACAGGTATGCACAAGCCTGGCCTCATAATCTTGTGCCCGGCTGCTGGGGCGTGTGTGTGTGTGTGTGTGTAAGAAGGAGGGGAAGAAAGAAGAGGCCAGGTGGTTGTGGTACAAGCCTTTAATCCCAGCAATTGGGAGACAGAGGCAGTCATGTCTCAGTGAATTCCAGGCCAGTCTGGTCTACAAAGTGATTTCCAGGATAGGCTCCTAAACTACACAGAAAAACAAAAAACAAGAAACTAAACCAAAACCAGACAAACAAATCTAAGATGGAAGCCATGCTCTTATAACCCAGCCTTGTAAGTGACCTACTACTCTTTGCCTAGGATGCTTAAATCCCTGGATTCAAGTACCAGCAATGGTTTTGGGAGAGTGAGCCTCAGTGGGTGGAGACTAGTTAGGTCAAAAGTTTTAGATGACTGTGAAGTTAGATAACACAAATAAAGCCAGAAAGGTTGTTTGTCACTATAATTATTTTTAGAAGGCAACTTAAAAAGTTAAACAATTTTTTAATGAAAGAAAGCAGTCAATACTGGAACAGCAAAGATAAAACTCAAAAGAGAAACTTAGAAAATATATGTAAATGTAATTTTATTGTGTATGCATGTCTGAATATGGGTGTGTAAGCATTAGCACAGTGCCCATGGTGGCCTGAGTGTCAGATCTCCTGGAGCTAGAGTTAAAAGTGTTTGTGAGCGGTCTGATGTGAGTACTGAGAATCTACTCTAGGTCTTCTAAAAGAGCAGTATGCACTGCTGAGACCTGAGCACTCTCCAGCCTTGTAATGGATCCTTATCTATTTGTATTAGTGTCACTGTGAACAAAATACCTAATAAAAATAGCAAGGAGAGGAATTTGTTGTTTGGGTTCACAATTTTAGAAGGTTCAGCTTCAGATATGGACATCTAGTGTTCAGGGGACTGCAGCAGCCAGCTCAGCAGACTCCCAAGTTTTATTTCATTTGGGCCCTAGCCTGTGGGATGGCGCCATCATGCTCAGGTAAAGCGCTGTAACACAAAAAAATAAAAGGACCCAGAGACAGGTATCAGGGTTCAAACTTCAAGCTGAATATCAGAAAAGCAAAGCAGCTGGACACTATTTTCTCACCTCTACCTCAGGCTGAATGGGCTGATCCTGTTTCCACAAGCTCTTAACAAGTCTCTGACTGTAACCTCTTCTCAGAGTGGCTGGAGAATGAATCCCTGATACTGACTATTGAAGACCCTGCTCTTATCTTTTCTATCCCTCTAGTGCTGAAATTAAGTGTGTGATCCCAGGTGCTGAGATCATCTTTTCGTGAGCTGTTTCTTTTTAGAACAGGATCAATCCCAGAGATCCGTCTACCTCCTAATCCTGAGTCCTAGGATTAAGGTTGTGAACCACCACCTCCTAGCTTCTGCCTGCTGGGATTAAAGGTGTGTGCCTGGCTTCTATTCCTTGTGGCTGACTTTGCTCTCTGAATCATCAGGCAAGTTTTAATAAATCATAAATAATATATCACCATAATGTGCTATAGAAACACCCTCACAGACCAAGAGATAAGCTTCAAGTTGACCATGAAGATTTACCATCACTTCTTTCAAAAGAAGCTGCTTATACATGGATTTAATTCTTTGGTTTTTTTTTCAGATGATTTTAGATTCACAAGTTTTTGAAATAGGTCTCCTTCTATCATACCATGGCTTGAGGTACCCACCTTCCCTGTGGCAGGACACTTTAGAATGTCACCTTCTTTGTCCCCCACTGGGTGGTGGGGGCGATAGGGTTGCAGAGCTGGCTGGACCCTCAGACCTGACTAAGCTTCCAAAATCCACCCAGTTGATCCAGGATTAGGCTGGGGCTGGACCAGGCTCAGAAATGCAAGGATGTCTCCACACCACCCTACTCCCAGCAATCCCCCTGCCACATGAGTTCTGTAGAGGGATGACTTACTGTGGAGCTCAGGTTGGCATGAGCCTGGAGACCTCCCGCCCAAGGGCTGGGCAAGAGCTGGAGTGGAGAGAAACTCAAAGGGGACCTGTGTCTCATCTGGGATAATCTCTTTGGGAAGATGTTAACCAAGAAGACCATGTGCTGCTTTGAGGACCTGCAGTTTATCTCCAAGAGCATGTGTGAGCTGAGATCTCTGCTGAAGTATGTGAAGTAGACAAGAACCTTCCAGAGACATGCAAAGCAGAAGTTCTGGGGCAGACCCACAGGAGAAAGCAAAGGAGTGTAGCCAAGGGTAGCCTGCTCCCAGCACTCAGCAAGCCTATTGTTTACTTCATATTCATTCATTCATTAATTCATTCATTTATTCCATTTCATTTTTTTTTAAGACAGGATTTCTCTGTGTAGCTTCTCAGCCTGTCCTGGAGTGTACTCTGTGGACCAGGCTGGCCTGGAACTCACAAAGATCCCCCTACCTCTGCTTCCTGAGTGCTGGGATTAAAGGCGTGTGCCACCACAGCCAGGCTTAACAACTTTTGGGATGATGTGGATAATAGTTTCCTTTGGCCCTGTATTAAAGTCTTCCCATAGCTAGGCAGTGGTGGCACACACCTTTAATCCCAGCACTTGGGAGACAGAGGTGGGCAGATCTCAGTGAGTTTGAGGCCAGCCTGGTCTACAGAGTGAGTTCTAGGACAGCCACAGAGAAACCCTGGTGCCAATCTCCTCTGCAAGCTGCAACCTGTGGCCTGAGAAGGCTCTCTGCTTGCCAGCAACTAGTTTGAGCCAGAGCAAACCAGCAATATTTTGCCTACTATGCTAAGTATAGCATCTCCAATGAGTTTTGAACCCCAGCCTTGAGAAGTGGCCTCTTTCCAAGTTTGTCCTTAGGGGCCCTTCCCTGAACCACAGACTCATGGGACCCATTTAAGTCACATTCAACTTCCTGACCTACAGAATCTGAGATAGTAAGTACTGCTGTGTTATACTGTTGTTTGGAGAAGAGGGGTGACTTATGTGACAATATACAACTAAAACAGGGAAATGCCAATTAACTTTATCATTGTGTATCCATTTTCACAAACTCAGTGTTTAAAATTTTTTATTTTTATCCGAATGGGTTTTTTTTTTGTTTTTGTTTTTGTTTGCCTGAATGTATGCCTTGTACCATGAGTACCTGGTACTGGTGGGGCCCAGGAGACCCCCTGGGACTGGAGTTAGAGATGGTTTTGAGTTGTCATATGGGAGCTGGAAATTGAACCCAGATCCTCTGGAAGAGCAGCTAGTTCTCTTAAACACTGAACCATCTTTGGTGAACTGAATTTTTAAGGAATTCATCTTGTTGAGACTTCCTCATTCTCTTCAGAAGTAGACAAAGAATACCAGCTTATTTACACAATATTTCAGAAATAAAAACTATAACCACACAAAGCATTTATACAAATGTTCATAGCAGCTTTATTTTTAATAGAAATTTGAAACAACTCAAATGCCTTTTAATGGAGGATGGTTAAACAAACCATGGTATATCTATACCATGGCGTATTACTCAGCAATATAAAGGAACAAACTATTAATACATGCAACAACTTGGATGAAGTTCAAGGTTAATTGTGCTGAATTCAGTAAAAAAAAAAGCCAATTTCAAAGTTACATATGGTATAATTTCATTTATATAACATTGCCATCGTGACAAAATTACAGAGATGGAGAACAGATTAGTGGCTGCCAGAGTTCAGGGTAAGAAAAATGGTGCGACTATAAATAAAGGGCAAAAAGAACGAATGAGGAAAACAGTTGTTACTTTAGCAATGGCCTTTCCACACTTACACTTGGAAAAACTGCATAAGCCCACCTCTGTGGGAAGCTGAAGAAGGTAAGTAAGGTCTGTGGATTGCATATGATGTCAGTATACTACCATGAGACAAACTATGTGAAAGATACACGTGGTAATGTCTGTACTTTCTGTAACTATTTCAAAATACAGTTTAAAAAATACCATTATCTCCATTCTCTTAGATATCTATTTTTAATCACACCTTTCATTACTCTCCATCTGATCCTCATTCAGATTGGGTTTCAAGAGACCTATTCATGAAGCTATCTATCCCACAGGCATCTGAGCTACTCTGTTAAGCATGTTATTACAATAGGCATTAACCATAAATCTCTCTGAAATTTCATTTCTTCCATGATGCCAACTTTCTTTGTTGGGTGTAAAGTGTACACCTGTGATCTTAGCATTGATGATTTTGAGTTTAAGCCCCTACCCCTGTAGTAATTTGTTTCCTATGCCTGGTTCACTTCTTCATGGCTTTTCTTCTTGCTTCATCCTATACTCCCAAGTCACTCTGGGGTTTATTCAAGACTGCATGTGAAAATTACGTCTGTCCTCAGCAAAAGAGGGTTTGTAGCCTTTAAACAAATTTCGATCCCCTAATAATGGACAGGTGTCTAATGAGCTTTTTTAAAAACCACAGCAAATCTGGTCATTCTCCCCAACCCCAATCTTCAAGTTCATCTCTTTTCCTCCATCCCTGCCTGCATGGTCACGTAGTCCACATTACAGCATTAACCCAGTCTCCTTGCTGTCTGTCTCCAGCTTCATCTTTTACATCTCTGCCAAAATATCCTTTCTAAAATCTCAAATCATTTAGCTTATATAACTTCCAAGATTCTCTTATAATCTCTTTAGCATAGTATTCGATGCCCATCTACCTCTTCCGGCAGTGTAAACTTTGACCAATTCTGAAAAGAATCTACATTCCTTTTCTTGTCTGAGAAAGGTGACAATAATCTACATTGTAACACTTAGAATTCTGTCTGAAACATACTAAGTGCTTTGAGATCTGGCTGTCTATATTATTACTCAGTGAAGTCCCATTCCTTAATCATACTTTCAGGTGGAAATGAACCCAACTCCTACCACCATTACCTTTTTGGGAGAGAAAGATGGCAGAACTCTGACTCTATTACTTTCTGGTTATGAGATCTTGGCAAATTACAAAACCCCTCAGATGTAAAACAGAATTAAAATACAAAATAGAGGGGTTATGAAGGTGATGTTACTGGTAAAAATGTTATGCAGGATTTAAAGTTTAGCCAGAGGTTGTGTCACAGAGAAGCACCCCCTCTTGCTCAACATAACTAGAACTGGCCCCTTTGTACGTAGTTTTCTGAGCTATTCAACTTAGTCTTTCCCATTTCTACACCATGAGTTTCTAGGAAAAGGGTTCTTTTATTGACCTATAGTCTTAAAGACTGGCACAGACAAACGCTTATGACACCTCAGCTGGGTGAATAAATAAAGGTACCCTGGGGTCAATGACAATGGTGCTGAGATGCAGGCCATTAAAAAATTTTTTTTCCTGAAGCCTACAGAATGATTTTCATACTTTCATGACTTTGTCCTATTTATGCACCTGTTGTTATCTCCCAAAGACAGTAAACTCAGTATTATTTTTTTCAACCACCTCCCATTCAAAAAGTGCTCTATACTGAATGAAATGTCAGACAATTAAGAAATATTTTGCCGGGTGTTGGTGGCACACGCCTTTAATCCCAGCACTTGGGAGGCAGAGGCAGGCGGATCTATGTGAGTTTGAGACCAGCCTGGTCTACCAAGCGAGTTCCAGGACAGCCTCCAAACAATACAGAGAAACACTGTCTCAAAAAACAAACAAACAAATATAAATAAATAGATAAAAATATTTCAACCTCCTTGGGTCTATTTACTTCCCAGTGATACACCACTGAAGCAGGTAATCAATCATTTAAGTTCCTGTTTAAGGAGTGTCTTTCCAGCTTTGTAAGAGGTATCAAAAAAATCAGGACAACTAAAACATACCATAAGCTTAACATTGACACTAAACAAACAACTTTTAAGGTGGACAAATAATTTTATTTTGTGCATGCAAATACATGTCAAGTACTGCAAACTTTTTCCATCAGTTTTCTCTCAAACACTGAAAATCATGATGCTCTATTTTGTGAACAGCCAAAGCTAATATCTCTTCACTTCAGTGCTACAGCAAAAACACACAGGATTCACTCTTTGCTATTCACTATCATCACAACCCTCATTGTTCCATCTCTGCCCACCCCCCATATACAGGCCTTAAGTCCTAGCCTTTCCCCCATTTAATCCTATTCCTATAGCACAAAGGGAAACATTACAATTTGGAAATTCAAATTGAAATAAATGGAATAGAATTTATTCCCATATATATTCCCCATCTCATTGTACAGAATTATTTTATAGTTTTAAATAGAAGCTGAGTATATGCCTTAAAAATGAGCATTAAATCCATCTTAGAGATGGTGCTTGCTTTTTACATGATGGGTGTACACCATCTTTAATTTCATTTACATTTCAATCGAACAATAGATTTGCAAAGAAAATGTCTAATACAGACGTAAAAATATTCACACTAAGCTTCACAATCGGTTGTACAATTGACAAACAGGCCTCTTTTCCCAAACTTTCCAGCTAAGCAAATTTATAAAATGTAATCAATGCAACAAGAAAACATTTCTCTTTCACTTCCAGGGAAAAGAATATGCAATAAACAGTATAAATGCAGACGGCAGTTGCTGCAAGCTAACCACGATACTCCCAAGTGGCTGTACAGTGGGTATGTGCAGTACAAATAAAAGCCACGTGTGTTGTATCACAACTACAGTAGAATTGTTTGCCCAGCTAAGAGAATGCATGCACTTCCATGCCGTGGGTTATAAAGAGAGGCCTAATTCTTGACAGGTTGATGGAATATGTGCAAATGACCTTGGCTTTTGGCAGTACTAAGTGCAGCCAGTGTCTTTTTTTTCCACTGGTTTAGGGGATATTTTTTAATTTTTATATAAGAGAAAAAAAAAATTGCCAGTTTCAGACTTGGGGGAATAACTCCCCTTAGAGTAAAAATAAGTCTCCACTCAAATGTGGGGTGCTCTGATCTGTGGTTTGACTCCTTGTACTCCCTTGCCAGCAAAGGGATACAAAGAAACAGCTAGTGTAAAGGAGTTACTAGCAAACTTAATCTCTAGAAAAGGGATACTCCTTGAGCATGTCATTTGTGTTCTGCTTACAGAAGGGGCCCTTCTGTAGAAGGAGCTTCATACAGTAAGTGATCCCATCAGTACTCTTGAGTCACTAAAACATAAGGAAAGTTCTAAGACAGTAATACATAGCTGCAATGCAACTTTTCTCTTAAATGATTAGTTACCAATATTGGTGACAGTCTGCTCAGAAAATAACTCTAAGAAGCAAGGGAAGAAATTCTCAGATTTACTGCTAAAACCATATACTGAATCTGACTGTTACAAGTTCCGACCCTGGCTAAAAAAGACAACATGGGCTGTATCACATCTAAAATTCAAAAGTAGGGGTGTTTGGTTTCTAAACATTTTTTTTTCAAATGGTTAAATGATCCCGTTCAAAAGTCCTACAAATCATTGCATTCTGGAATCTTCTGTATATAAAATCAGGATGTGCTTTGTAACTCAGCATCAACTTGGAATCTGGGTCAAAGTGACTAGGATCCATACAAACGGGAAAGTTTAGATTTTTGTATGAGAGGTTTCATTTAATTGTCTTACTAGAGTAAAAAGCTATGAAAGGAGAGAATCAGTGCCATGGGCTTAAAGAGCTACCTTTTAAAAAAATTACAATGTACAACTGTCCCCACATATACCGGTTCGTTGCATGACATTGAAATAAGTCATGGTAGCAAAGGCAAGAGAATCTGGTTTGTTTAGGTACCAACTAGAAGGAATACATATAGAACTCTTAGAATTCATAAAATGAAATGACCCCACACAAGACTAATGATGTTACATTCACAGCATCTGAATGTGGCACACTTATAGGACCTGGACTTACAAATTGGGAAAACAAAACAAAAACAAAACATGAAAGAAACCCACAACAATTTTCCTGATTTTCATACTGCTTTTTCCTAATTAGACCCATAGGCAACACATGCGGTTTATATTTCAACATTACAAATTTCTCTTCTCCTGCAGTGTAGCCTCCCAAACGTGTTCACCACAATGGCTTGGTAAAGGGTCAAACTGATGATTGCCCCCAATTTTAAAAAGCCATCTTCTATGTATGCTTGTACTATCTTCCTCTATGATATCAGTAGGTACCATTTTGAAGAAAGATCAGATGAACTGTTCTTTCTTCTGAAGTGGCAGAGATCCAATGGCTTTATTTCACATTAAACTCACCAAAACAGACAGTAGGTTGTCACCACATAAAAGATGCAATACAAAATAACATCAACACAGAAACAATTCCTATGTTGTTAGTGAGAAAGAGTAAAAATGTAAGAATAGTAGGGAATTATTACTTTATGGGATCATCTGCTGCAAGACAAGCATTATTTTACTCTAAGCGTGTGAGACATACCAATAAGGCTGGCAAGTACACATACTGATGCAAATGTAATTTACTCAACAGATATAGGCAAACACCTAAGCATCCCAACCCCTCCAGCAGAGCACAGCCACGCTTCAAAATTTCAATCTTAAAATGAAAAAGATAAGGTTAAATACACAAGATCAATTTATGTAGTATATAATCACCCTCAGAAAGTGCTGAAGATGTTTGTGTAGTTCTGTTGCACGGAGGGTTCTTTCCCTGAGGGCACATAAGGAGCTCTCAACTGTTAATAGGTCTCTATTTTGTAACAAAATAGCAATTTTAAAATCTTAAAAAAAAATACATTACCTTCAACATGGAAGATCTCACTATTAAATATCCATGAAACAGACAGACTGGTTTACATAACCTTTTTGGAATTATAAACAAACAAAAAAAAAAAGAACACTGGAAGCGTTTTAAATGTAATAAGTTCATATTCATAGAAAGGTTCTGATATAAATTATACAACAATCATGTTCCTGTAACATCCTAAGCTAATTTATAATGTCAGAAATAAGTTAATGTAACATGGTTTAAAACTCTTGTTCCTATTCATTTCAGGTTACATAGTGAAATAAATAAAATGTCTTTGTAGGGATGGGGAGCACTGGCCATGGCAAAAAGGTACAGTACTAACCAAAGGAAACTAAGTCAAGGCTACTGTGCTGTTATGCTACAAACAAACATCTTCATACACTTAAGTATTAAATAAATGTGTAAGATCTTCCATACTGACACCAGAATATCAAAACTACCCCTTTGTTTCTCAGGTATTATTTACAACTTATCAGTCACCTTATGAGCATGTTCATTAAGACAGGTATCAAACACCAGTATTTACTCATTCCAATCAAGAAATTTCAGGGAAATGTCAACCCTCCCACCCCTGGAAATGTGCACAAAACTTTTATCAAAATCTTATCTGATACAATGCTGTGGTTTTTTGTAAAATAACTAAATAGCTCAGACGACCAATAACATGATCCTGTTTAAGCATCTTGCTAGCAGGAGAAGCCCTTACATACAGTACACCTGGTGAAAGATCAGCTTGGCTTAAAATATTCCAGTACAATTCTCAGAGTAAACAACTTCACAGAAGTTAATTAAAAAATAATAAAAGTCAAACTAATCGTAAAGAAATGGAGGAAAAACAAAAAGACAAACTATAGGTAAGATTACCACCAGGAAGGAATGCCCAGCTTTGTTTTCAAATGGTGACTGAAATTTAAGCTTCAATAAAATACCACCCACAAATGGCTGGTTGAGCATACTGCATACTTCTAGATGCCAAGTCAAAATTCCAGTCACATTATGGCAGGGCAGAAATTATTCATGTTCTTAAGTATGGGTAAATGTTAGCCAATGTTCTACTACTACATGGTTCATAGTCTTATCAATCTAACAGTCAGAAAACAAGGAAAATTAAACCCAACATGAAATTAACAACGAACAATATCTAACTAAAACAATGCAATGAACACCCAAATTAATTAAATTTAAATTAAAGACCCAGCAAGACCATCTTGTTAGTCAGTGCAAACGCTACAGACAGGGTTTTCTCAAGAAAGGTGAAAGCACCTGATTCTTTTGCCAAGTCATCAGATTCAATAATGTACAGGCTTAAATCTGCATTTTAAAAAATTGCCATTACATTAGTGCATAATTTATCAAAACTGTAAAAACGATTCTGCATAACTTAGGAGAATTTAATATCTAGTACATCAGCTGAAAGACTTAGGCACTTGGTTATATTTTTAATTAATTACTTCAACAAGTAGCCTGTATATAAATATTAACAAAGCAGAAACTATTCTTGAAAAATGGAAAATTAAAAATTAAATGCTACAGATAAAAGCACTGCACCACACTTCTACATATAATGCAGTAAAGAAAGCTATTATATAACCCTGTAAAACTCTATGGTAAGAACATCTATCTCCACTCTTCAAAAACGAAAAAGAAAAAAGAAAAAGGAAAAGAAAAATCCATGCAAAGTCCAATAAAAAAGATAAATAAAGCAGCTGGAATGAGATGGAAATTTCTCTCAGTGAAACATAAAATAGAAATAAATTAATTAACTCTACTTTCACTAGATGTATCATTGTAGGATCCTGCTAGTTTAATAACTGAGTTGTTAATTTACTGTAGAAGCCATTTAAAATAGGAAATGGCTCAGTTACTGCACCGGATTGCTACAAACTCATAAAAAGCTGCTTGAAGCTTAAGTTAAATGTTGTCCAAATTCCAATAATTTCTGGAAAGTGAACGTTACCCTAGTAAAGTAAATTTTCTTTTTTTTTTCATAATGCTAATGCAAGAGGGCTTGAAGTATCAAAGAGTCCACAGGAAATGGATGCCCCCAGTAATATCTTTTTTTTAAAAAAAATATACATTATATAATATATATTATATATATATAAAAAGCTAGTGTAAATGCTTCCATGGTGTGGTCACAAATTTGAAAGATGAGCCTCCTTTCAGCTGTTAACCATCTTCCCATTTGCAATAGGTTTTAAAAAGTCGCTTTTATCTTCAGACATAACATGAGTTTTCAGAATGAGGTTGCCAACACTGACAGATGTGGTGATGGGGAGGCAGCCTGCACTGCTAATAGACACTGGGAGTGGCTGGCTAAAGCAAGACGTTACCGGCAGAACTGTTTTTTGCTCCTCCCTGAGAGAAAATAAATGATAGTGAAAGCCAATTAACTTTAAGTGCAAATATTTACCAGTTACAACATATGCTCTCCAAAAGCTATTTCAAACGCTAAGAGCCCACAGAGAAAGACTATCTTCTTTATCAAGAAAAGTTTGAATGGGGGCTGGAAAGATGGCTCAGCGGTTAAGAGCACTGGCTGCTCTTCCAGAGGACTCAGGTTCAATTCTCAGCACCTAAATGGCAGCTCACAATTGTCTGTAACTCTAATCCCAGGAGATGCAATGCTTGTCCTGGCCTCTGCAGAACAGCACAAGGCTTGCACATGGTGCAGAGACATAGATGCAGGTAGATACCCAGACACATAAAAATTAGAGTAATTTTTAAAATATCAGAAGTCACTAAAAAGGTTCTATTTTTCCAAATTTATGATAAAAGTTAAAATACTGATTAGATGACATATAAATTATCAAGCTTAAGACCAGAATCAAATATTTGGCAGTAATTAAATAAAATAGCAATATAATAGCCAAGAAAATCATAACATGACTTTTAAACAGGAAATATTTAAACAGTTTTAGTTTGCTTTAGTCTTTATGAATTTTTAAAAAAGATCTATTTTATGTGTTTTGCTTTCATGTATGTATTTGTACCACATATGTACAATGCACTTTGAGGTTCCAAAACAGGTTGGATCCCCTGGAACAGAAATTACAGATGAATGTGAGCCACTATGTGGGTGCTGGGAACCAAACCTGGGTCCTCTGCAAGAGCAACAAATGCTCTTAACTGCTGAGCCTCTGTCCAACCGTTTATGGTTTGTTTTTGAGACAGGGTCTTGCTATGGACTCCATGACAGGTTAAAACATGTGAGTACCCAATCCTGCCCTGCCTCACAAGTGTTGAAGTTATAGCTGTGTTAATCTTGGGTTTAATTTTCTATCTACAAGTTAGGCCAAATTGAAGAAGTATAACCTGATGTTAGAGACAACAGAACTTTCATCCCAACAAACAATTAAGTTTTGGGATATTAAAATAAACTGCTTTACTAGTTAAAATTTCCCTAAAAATAGACTGACCAAACAAATCCTGACTTTATTATATAAAGTTTCCCCCTAATGGTAAAAGCCATAATGAGTCTAACACTGCACCTACCTAAGTGCTCACACCTTATGCCCCTGATGACAAGATCTGTCTAACACTCACAGGGTCACACGTTCTTCACCTAAGCTCTGTCTCTCCTGCTTCACTGTGTCCCTCTGGCGCTGCTGGCCTGCATGGCCATTCTCCACTGCTGCTCCATTCAGCAACTGATCACTCTGAGAATTGACATCAAGTTGTAGGTCCAGGATCTCCTAAGAAAATAGTGTTAGTCTTTCAATATGACAGTATTCTATGCCTTTTAATTTTACAGCAGAAAAATTTTCGCACTTACTTCAATCTGCTCACTTTGTCCATCAGGTTCATCAGTGTCGAGTGCTGAAAGCTCTAACTCAATATCTCTATCGGGCTTTGTATCTACTGTGTCTTCTGTATAATCACTCTGTAAATAAGAAAAGTATTCATTTTATACCTGCAGAACCTGGGACCTCCTTTAAATTACAATGGGAATCCTAATGATTTATCTAAAACATTAGTTCAGAAGTTTGAGACTACTGTTTGTACTTTGAGTTTTAAAAAGCAATCATTCATCTGAAAAATGCACTAAGAAATAGTATATCCCAACAGACAGCCACAGAAAGCAAATACATTAGCAGGAAGCTGAGACATTCAGTTTCCTTACCTCTCCATTTCTCAGTTCAATTTCCTTGCTTAGAAGATTTAAAGTAAGGTGCCGGCCTTCATCCAGGGAATTCCACTTCTGTTGCATGGCCAGAGCATTAGCTTCCCTCTGAAGAAGTAATGAGTTACTCTTGGCCTCCAAGAAGAGGGAAGAAAACATAAACTTAGCTTTCAATTATTATTTTACTTAAAAAAAAAAATCAAAGCTAAATAAATAGAGCCTACCTGCTGAAGTTCAATGCTCAAAAGGTCTCCAGTACTGGAATGCTTTCTATGACCAGATAAATCAGTAACAATGAATCTGTCCCTTTAAAAAGAAGTATGTTTATTATAGTTAAAGTGAAATATAAAGCGTTAATGACTATATGTTCTTTGTAACTATCAACACTGAATGTGTTTTAGGCACCATTCTAAAAGAAGTGTTTCAGACATTTTTTGAACAGCTCAAATTAGCTGTGTATCTAGTGTGGCTTATTCCATGGACAACCAGTAGTGGTGTGTGTGTGGGGAGAGGGAGTTTCAAGACAGTATTTCTCTGTGTAACAGCGCGGGCTGGCCTCGAACTCACAGAAAACTGCCTGCTTCTGCCTCCCGGGTGCTGGGATTAAAGGCGTGTGCCATCATCAGTAGGCTGGTTTCTACATTTTAAGATGCATGTAGTTCGTAGTTTAAAAGTGAAGCCTCTTAAGGAAATGAGAGTAAAGTTACCGTTCAACATAGTGTGCTGATGATGGAGCCTCACTGCCATATGAACTCCACCTTGAATCAACAGCATTGACATAAGGGACATAATCTGTAGGAAATAAAAAGAAAACATTATTAGAAAAGCAGAAAAGCCAGACAAGGTGGTACACATCTGTAATGCCAGCCCTCAGGAAGCTGAGGCAGGACTGCTACCAGCTCATGATCCCTCTCAAAAAAAAAAAAAAAAAAAAAAAAAAGACAAAAGTAGTTTTAAAAACTAGTATATAGGTATGAATATACTTTTTAAATGGCTGTGTATTTTTTCCCACTAGCCAAAGGTTCTGTTTAACCCATGCCATTCTCAGTTTAATATGGGTACTAAATGGAACGCCTTTGGTATTACTAAAATGGATCACCTGATACACTGATGGGCTTAGTTGCACTTCCTTGGGAAGCAGTGGCCTGGATGGGATCTGTTGTATGGTAACCTGTTCGGGAGGATCGGGAAATTGCACCCCATTTTGAGATAATGGGTCCATCACTAAAGGGAATAATTGGGTCTTCTTCTTTTGTCCTTCTCTGCGTTTCAAATAAATGCACTCTTCTCTTAACATCTCCACTATCCAGGTCCTGCAAAAACCAAAGAATATCAGTCAAAGAGCTGCTGGCAATTACTGTAGCTAATGATGTTCTTAAAAGACACATAATTAGGCTTTTCTGGTCAATTTTACACCAACTACAGATCTCAATGGTGTGTAACAACTATATTAAACTACCGAACTAAGGCTAAATAACTGAAACATTCCATTAAACTTGTTTTAATTTGTTAAAATATTACCCTGTTACTTACAGATAAGTTATACAGTCAGAATATTAAAAAAAGTCTTCATTTTAAAACTTGAGACATCAACATTATCTTCCCTACCTCCAAAGCCCCCTTTTCCCCAATCAAGCAAAATCATACCATTAGCACAGCATTTGAATTAGCAATTACGTCTTTGGGCTCTGAATCAATGGCATTTATACAAGAGCCTATGGTGCCACAAGACCAGGGAGAATAATGGGAAAGATGGTCTTCCTCAAATTTTGTGCCACTCACACTCTCAGAGAACTGATTAAAAAAAAGAAGGAAAAAAAGCATATTAGTATGAAACCTAACTTTACAAGCTTGTAACTAATACTGAATAACTACTATACAATTGAAGGATCATATAGTTAATAATTAAACTCTTTCTATAACTAATGTAACAGCTGGGTGTACTGGTTCATTGCCGTAATAACTATCATTTGAAGACCTGAGGCAGAACCACATGGAGTTCCATAGCAGCCTGGTTGTGTGGAGCAGAACCTTCTCTCAAAAGGAATAAAACAAACAAATAAATCGGCACTAAACAGTAATATTCATATCATAGAAAATAGCACACCTTCTTTTTCTGTGTCTTTTAAGTTATTTATTCTATACCTTCTTTCACTTCTGTCCTATAAAGTCATCTTTAAATTTCATTTCTTTATTTAGTGTGCGTGTATATAGTTGCCATAATGTGTGATTAGAAGCCAGAGGACAATTTGTGGAAGCTGGGTCCCAGGAATCAAAATGAAGGTTAAAGTGAAGGCATTGGGCAGGCTCTGCAGTAAGCAGCTCTGCCTATTAATCTGTCTTACCGCCTCAGTCCTTTAAGTGCTCTTACAAAACTCCTGATCAACACTATCAAAATCAATTAGTAATAACACACTATCATGGTATGTGATGCTCACAAAAAAGAGGAGAAATAAAAACATATATAGATAACAGTCCATGTCTTAAAGCAGTCAGTAATTCCCTTGAGAAAAGATCAGGTAGCAAATAAAGGAACATAGTAAGTCATGCAGTATTAACTAGCAAAAGGAATTCAAAGGCAGCTCTGAAGTCACAAAAGGAAAAGAATAGATGTGAAAAAAAATGTAAAGCACTATAATAATATTGCCAGGACACTAAAGTTGTAAGAATAATAAAATCTACTTGACTAGCGGGCGTTGGTGGTGCACGCCTTTAATCCCAGCACTCGGGAGGCAGAGGCAGGCGGATCTCTGTGAGTTAGAGGCCAGCCTGATCTACCGAGTGAGTTCCAGGACAGCCTCCAAAACAATACACAGAAACCCTGTCTCGAAAAACTAAAAAAAAAAAAAAAAAAATCTACTCTACTTGACTAATACAGAGATATGGAAACTGAGGAACAGAAAAGTTAAACATGAGTAATGCTACTTGCCAATAACTGGTCTGAATCTCAGAGAAACACTTATTTATTCTTCTTTTTTTTTCTTTCCCCAAGACAGGGTTTCTTTGTATAACAAACAGCTCTAGCTGTCCTGCAACTAGCTCTGTAGAGGAGGCTAGCCTGGTACTTACAGAGATCCACATGCCTCTGCCTCCCGGGACTAAAGGTGTGGGCCACCAACGCCCGGCAAAATACTTATTTCTTAAAGTATAAATATTGTATAGAAAATGAAAATATGGGACAGGTGGTGGTGCACGCCTTTAATCCCACCACTTGGGAGGCAGAGGCAGGCGGATCTCCAAGTCTGAGGCCAATCTCGTCTATAGAGGTAGTTCCCAGACAGCCAAAGCTACACAGAGAAATCTATCTCAAGAGAAAGAGAGAGAGAGAGAGAGAGAGAGAGAGAGAGAGAGAGAGAGAGAGAGAGAGAGAGAAATATAGAGAAAAATTTATCATTCTATAAAAGTGACATTAGTATCAAACACTGCTGTTTACTTATTTTGAGGCAGTCTCATTTTAGTGAGATAAATATGAACAGGTTAAAAACATATCTTATAAAATACTCCTGAATAGAAGTTTTTCTAATTTAGGTGTTATAGCTCACATTTACTCACCCACCACTAAGAAGGACGATTCAGGAGAATTGCTGAGTCCTAGACTACCTAGTGAAACACTGTCTCAACAAACAAAATTAGGGGATGGAGAAATGGCTCAGGAGTTGAGTGTGTTTGCTGCTATTCCAGGATACCTGAGTTTGGTTGCCAGCACCCACACGGAGCAGCTAGTAACCTCCTTTGACTCCTGTTCCAGGGAATCCAATGCCCTCTTTTGACCACTATGCATCTATACATGTGGCATATACTCAGACAGACAGACAGACACAGATTTTAAAAAGTAAAAATAAATTAAAAACAAAACTAGACAAATCCAACAAATTAAATTAAAAATGAATGTGTATTTATAGCTGGGACTATGCCAAAATAATCAAGTGGCAAGAAGAACAAACGAAACAAATTTGACCAAGCTGGCAATTTATGGAAGTGATGATATATTTTATATGGAATTACTGTCTTTACATTTTTTATATGTCTGAAACTTTTCATAATAAAAAAGATTTAAATACTGTTTTTTGTTTGATTGGTTTTCTTGCACTCGAAACACTGGGGGTGAGGAATAAAACAAAGTGTATGCTAAAAAAAAATTTCTTGCTGGGCAGTGGAGGCATACACCTTTAATTCCACACAAGGGAGGCAGAGGCAGGTGGATTTCTGTGAGTTCAAAGCCAGCCTGGTCTACAGATCGAGTTCCATGATAGCCAGCATTGCTACACAAAAAGGCCCTATCTCAAAAAACAAAAACAAAGCAAAAACTATACATATACACACAAAACATACAATAAAAAAGGCAGGTAGAATAGAAATCATCCCAACATGAACTTGTTTTATAATAACAAGAATAATGAACAAAGACATTAATAGCAGAAATAATACAGCAGGCATTTCTACACTTCTTGTGAAACAGAAAAAAAAAAAAACATTAAGATTCAAACCCTAGCTATTTAGAAGCTGAAAGATCTTGGACAAATTATTTAACTTCCCTGGCTTCTGACCTACAAAATGGGGATAATACCTACCCTCTTAAGTTTTTGTGAGAATTAAATAAGATGGTGTTTTTTTAAGTAGCTACTTAAAAAATGTTACTACGTGAATGGTAGGTATAGATCTTATTCTGAAGCACACACCAATTGGGGTTAGGATGAAGGAAGCTCAGTGTAGAGGATATGCAAGGCTCTGGGTTTGGACCTAGCCCAAAGCTAAACAGCCAAAGACATAACAATAAAAATATAAAGCATTAAGTCTATTGCTGCAAAGTTTCTGAAATCCTGGTAAAGGACTCAATCTCCTCAACTAGCCATAGTTTACAAAATGTTTACTGAGCTAAATGTGACCCCATATAAAACCATTCCAAAATATCCAAAATAGTTAACCCTACTTTAAAGTCAGCTGTTTGACCATTAGTGATTACTAAGTGGTTCAAACCTTTCTTACATCTGTTCGGAAGTCGACACTGAAGAGAGGAGAAGGTGGTGTTGGTGACTGTGTTGCCACAGGCAGAGTTGAAGAGACAGGTGCTTTCTGGGTATGGTACTGCGCCCACTGATCTGCCTTTCTTCTTATCTGTTCCTCACAACTGGTCTTCAAATGACCACAAGGCTCCTAAGGGGGAAAAAATCTTGGTCAAATAAACTTAACTATGTTCTTAAAGGTAAAAAGTTTCATATGGTTGGGATTAACACACACATATACACAAAGATCAGAGAAACTGCCTTACCACCCTATATTCAAACAAAAAGATTAACATATGTTCAGCTGATGTCAGGTAAAATGGGAGCACTCATTTTTCTACTTTAGAGTCATTTGTAAATATGTGAAGCTACTGAAGAGGCCTTGTTCTTCTATCATCAGGGTTTTTTTCCTACAACAGTTCCTAACTGAACATAACAATTTTTTGAACATTGGTATGTATCAAGTCTAGTTGATTTTTAAAAAATTTTTTAAAATTAATTCTCACAACAGCCTTATGAGTAGGCACTACTCTTATTTACCTCAAGCAGATGACAAACAAAACAAAAAAGGTGAAGTAACTTCTCTAAATCAGTTAGAGAGTCTGTCTAATAAAGACATATGTTCAACCTTATTTACCCTTGGTAAAGGCACAGTCGTCCTTGGCTCATTTGGTGGCTGACAAGCCACTGAATAATATCCATCTAATGAGTTGTATCTTTCCCGTAAAGATGTCTGATAGACAGAGGAGTGCATAACATCCATTGGAGGTAAAGAATTGCTTCTAATAATGTCATCTCGTTGATACATAGCTGGGCGCCAGATGCGCCTGCTGTCATACACAGGAGCATACATCCCAGAAGGTACTGGTCCATACTGCTGCGGAGGAGGGGGCTGGTAAGGAGAAGAGTTCATTCGGTCTCGAGGGGAAAACGTGCTGTAATGGTCAGCATATGGCATGGAAGCAGGTGGGAGGGAGGACTCTGGAACATTACTGGACCTCACGAAGCGAGGCACACAAGGAGTCACACCAGCTGGGACTGTTGGAGGTGGTGGGTAGTACCCTTGAAAATTGGAAAGAGGAATATTCAATGAAACATCTTAGTACCAGCACTTTATAATGGTTCAAGTATAAAGCAACCCTGATTGTGAGAAAATATAATCAGTGTTGACCTTTACCTTGATATAGAAACTGCATTATTGCCAAGTCACCATTATACTAATATTAACATTCAACACTGTTAAAAGTATTCCTTAAATTCAAAACACAGAGCTGTTGGCAGATGGCAGACTGATTCCCATTTAATGAAACCCCCTGTCCTCTCTGTCTGTCTGTCTTTCTCTTTTTTTAAGGTCGTCTGAGACAGGGTTTCTCTGTACCTTGGCTGTCCTGGAACTCACTTTGTAGACCATGCTGGCCTCAAACTCACAGAGCATACTTTGCCTGTATCTTTGTCTGGGATTAAAGACATGCACCACCACTGCCCAGCCCATTAAATCAATCTTTTGCGTGAGGTTTCTAAATGAGTAATTAGTTATATCACTGGCTTGTATTAAGCATTTGGGTGCAGACGTTAAAGATCTCTCATAATTTATTCATTTTCTTTTCAAATTGTGCAAAACAAAACAGATGTGGTGGCAGTTTAATCCCAGCATTCCTGGGGCAGAACCAGGTGGATGTCTGAGTCTGAGGTCAGCTTGGTCTAACTAAGAGTTTCAGACAAGCTGTGGCTACATATAGTGAGACCCTCCCTCAAAAGTAAGTAACAACAAAAAGTAGGGTTTATAGATGGCTTAGCAGTTAAGAGCACTTGCTGCTCCAGCAGAGGACCTGGGTTCAGTTGTGAGCAGCTCACATCCATTGGTAACCCCAACTTCAAGATCACTGCATGCACGTGGTACACATACATGCAGGCAAATGTTCATATACATAAGAGTAATAATAAATCTTTTAATGAAGCACAAAAACATTTTATTTTATATACCATTTCACAAAAGTCATTCAAGGACTCTATCTTTAATTCTTACAAAAGACAACCACTAGTATCTAGGTAGAAGAATGAAATAGATTTATTTCTAACCAGTTATAGATTTAAGATTTCTGTGTATCACATGGAACTATAAACCTACTTAAAAAAAAATGAGAAAAGCTTCAAGGTACTAGAACAAGCAAGAATTTTTTAGAAAAGACCCCAAAAGTACAAAAACAAAGGCAAGTCATATAACTGGAAATGTATCAAACAATAAAACTCACAGGGGAAAAAAAAAATCAGACAGTAGAGGCAACCGACAGAATGGGAGAAAATATTTGCAAGCTGTATATATGACAATAAAAACAAAGCAACTTGATAAATATAAGCAGTATATCTAAATAAACATTTGTCAAAAGAAGATATCTAAATGGCCAATTAGTATAATAAAAATATTTAATATCAGCCGGGCGGTGGTGGCGCATGCCTTTAATCCCAGCACTCGGGAGGCAGAGGCAGGCGGATCTCTGTGAGTTCAAGGCCGGGCTGGACCGATAGCCTCCAAAACAATACAGAGAAACCCTGTCTCGTAAAAACCAAAAAAAAAAAAAAAAAAAAAAAAGATCACAGAGTGATATAGATAGCCTAGATACTCATTTATTTTGGGTAATAAATACATACATTTGCTTCTTTGTTCTTAGAACTGACAAAAATTACTTACCTGTTTGTGGGTATTGTGGGACTTCAAAGGATATCTGAGTCCTTGGATCTTGAAAATACTGAATGCTTTCAGAATGCTGAGTATATACTGGAACTCTAGTTAGAAACGGGCTGGATTTGGGAGGCACGGAGCTCAGCTCTGTTCCAAAATTAGAGGGCCCAGCGGAGGTAGCTGCTGCATTACTTACAGGAGTCTTGGGTGGAGAACTAATTTTACTGGAGAGGAAATTAAAGAGCAAAGGATAACTTGCTATGATCACTAAGTCCTTTTTTTTTTTTTTTTTTTTTTTGGTTTTTCTAGACAGGGTTTCTCTGTATTGTCTTGGAGGCTGTCCTGGAACTCGCTTGGTAGACCAGGCTGGCCTTGAACTCACAGAGATCCACCTGCTTCTGTCTCCCGAGTGCTGGGATTAAAGGTGTGTGCAACCAATTCCCGGCCATTCTTTAAGTCTTCCTGAAGAGAAATTTCTCATAAAATTATAAGGCAAAATTATCAACAGAAAAAAAAAAAAAAGAATTATCAACAGAAAACATGTCATGTATTTGGCCCGAGGCAAAGATATTTGTCAAGAAATTTCACTGCCTCTTCACACTTTACAAACCCATGTAAGTAACAGTTTTCATGCTCTGATGAAGCTAACAGGATATAAAAACAAGCTCTAAGCACTAAAGTGGCTTTTCAGCTGACTTTGACTCACTCTTTAAAGATTTTTTTCTTGTTGAAAAAAACAAACAAAAACCAAACCAAACAAACAAAATTCCTGCTCAGTAAGTTTAAAAACTAAACAATACATTTTTCATCAATAGAAGTCTTTAGTGCAAAGAAAAAAGTTACAAAAAAATTTGATTATCTAAAGTGTAATCTAAGAAAAGCCCATTTTTGTCTATTTTGTTAACTCTGAGTGTGATGCCTGGAACAGGTACTCAGTAAACATTTGCTGGACAAATAAAATATATCCTGGCACAAAGTGAGTACTTAATATTTGTTGGGTAGATGTAATGTCAATTAATGTTTTGTTTTAATACAAAAGGATTTTCTTAGTTGAATAAACGAGTAATCAGCTCTAGAGAATATCACCACGGCATTCTTGTTCCCTTTCAAAACTTCAAAAAAACTCTGCAGGCAATGGTGGCACACAACTTGAATCCCAGCACTCAGGAAGCAGAGGCAGGCACATCTCTGTGGGTTCGAGGCCAGCCAGGTCTACAAAGCTACACAGAGAAACCCTGTCTCAAAAAAACAAAAAACAAAAAAGAAAGCTATATTTAACTTACATAGTCTCTATGACATGAAGTCAGAAGTTCAGTGCCAAGCATGATTCTTTCTTCCACATTAAGTATATACTTGTGCTGACAAACTTAATACAGGGCAATGAAATTTGAAAATGCTTTAATTTCAATTTTTAAACTTCAAAATATGAGATTCCAAAACTGGAAGTAACTCCCAATTATCTGAACATTTCAACACTTTTCATAAGGTTTAAAAAAGTCCTTTAGTTAAATGGAATCTTTCATTGATAGCTGACAATAAAGGTAGTAAAAATGAGGCAGATATTCACTGAGTGGTCACTAAAGGGAAAGTACTGTTCAACACACAGAACAGCGCTTGTGAAGAGCACAGGTCAAGACCCCGCAGGCATCACAAGACGGTGCTGAGAGGAAGCTACAAATGTGAGGCTTCAAGTGTTTACTAAGAAAACAATTCGCGGCCCAAAGTCACACCGGATAAGGTCATCACACCAGCAGACCGGGCCGAGAGGGGATAGGACACTAGATACATCACAGGAATACCTTTAAAATTATTGGGTAATACTTTTCCCGCCCTGAGGTTTTTTTTACTTTAAAAAGGCTCACTGTTCAGCAATAAACGAGATCTGGCCTGACCTGACTCCCTGATGTGCCTGACTGTCACCAGACAGTGCACTCCATCCTCTCCAACACTGACCCAGGGGGCCAAAATTAAATTTCACAATCAATATATGAAGTACTTGACCACTGAGCTGCACATCTAGCCCATGAAGAAGATACTGTAATTTTATGAATAATTTGAGGTAAACTGATAAAACAATTGGCTTAACATCCAAAAGTTGGAAAAAGTAAGCCATAATTTGAGCCCAAAGAGCTTGGCTCCCAGGAGTCCGCCCTTGGGACACAGCGGAAGCCGATTGAAACATAGTGGAGCTAGACATTCAACCTTCTCATCCGCTTAGGTTTCTACTTCACATCTCTAAGAAATTAATACTGAAAACGCAAGAAATCAATGCTAGCATTCTCTACGTGTCCATGAAATTGATACTGAAACTCAAGGGAAAAAAAAGGCATGGAAGCCCTAATTCTAGTTCAACCTCATTGATATACTCGAAGAAAACAAAATTCAAGAGTTAAAGTGGCTTTTCAAGTTTGCAGAGCTATTTAGTTGCCTAGTGAGGATAAGAACTCAAATTTCTGCTGGGTCGTGGTGGTGCACCCTTTAATCCTAGCACTTGGGAGGCAGAAGCAGGCAGTTTTCTGTGAGTTTGAGGCCAGCCTGGTCCACAGAGTGAATTCCAGGACTGAAAGGGCTTCACAGAGAAACCCTGTCTTAAAAACAACTAAAGAGGGAAGAAAAACCATCAAATTTCCTTGATTTAGGGGTTGGTTTTTTTCTCCTCCTATTACATGAACTATTATACCTCAGGATAAAAAACTCAGGTCATTTCTAAAAGAAATAAGGAATCCATCATTCTCATCCAATACATACTTTTCAGACACAGACTCTGCAGAGGGCCCAGCAGTATTCTGGCCATTAGTGCCAACCTTCCCGACTTTCTTCACAGTCTCCAGGGTCCTTAATGCACTGTCAGTGCTTCGAGGAATTAGCTGGGAAATGCTGTTTTCTGCATTTGAAATTCCATTTGTACTTGGAACAATTTTCCCAGATGTTTCAGTACTTCCTATGACAGGAATGCCATTTCCAGCTGTGGTTGTAACAGTGTTGCTTACGCCAACTTTATTCAGAAGAGGAAATGTTCTTACAGTTGCACTCATCTTTTTGTTCCTTAATCGGTACCTGTGTAAAAATAAGCAGCATATTTGTAATACTGTTCCGATTTTAATCTGAAAATACAAAAAGAAAAATTTTAAAAAGGAAACAGCTTTGAAAAGTTCCTTCAGCTAAATAACAAATACTCTACATGTCACATATGCATGTTACACACATGCAAATACAAGCACATAATTAATATAGCAAGCAAAGTACACATGCACTTGAAGCGTTCTGAAGGAGTGGGGCTTGAAAATCTTCTATTTTTATGTGGTACCAAAAATAGCACCAAATTCTTAAAGTAACAGAACAAACAGGAAAGGATTCAAGAGTTGAACGTATTCGCTGTTGTTATTAAATTATACAAGCACTGCATAATTTTAAAGCAATAACAAAAACTCAACCTCATTTTTAAACTTTAAATCAAAGAAATTTTATATTATTTCTAAATGAGTTTATGTCTAAAGAAAGGAGATTTTTCTGATATTAATTTATTTACGCAGACTGGATATAATATACAAAGTGATTTGATCTTGGATTTCATATAAAAATATTTCTATTTGTATATGAAAAACTTCATTCAGGGACTGGAGAGATGACTGAAGGGCTAAGATCACTGGCTGCTTTTTCAAAGGACCTAGGTTTAGTTCCCAGGACCCACAAGGCAGCTCACAACTCTAACTCCAGTTCCTGGAGATCAATGCCCTCTTCTGGCCCTTGCAGACACTGCATGTATGTGGTACACAGCAAACACTTAGAAACCCAAAATTATTTTAAAATTCTCACTATTACATAGTCTTAGTCCTGATTCTTACTTCCTACAAAGTTCTGTCAATATTTCTAAGTGGTCAACACAATGAAAAGTATTTGCTTAAATTACTCTATTACTGTTACTTCAACATGGTGATTAAGATGAATAACGCTTGTATAATAGCTTCTCCTCGGGCTAGAGGAATAGCTTAGCCCTTAAAGGCTAGGATCACAACCAAAACAAAACAAAACAAAAAAAAAAGCTTGTCCTTCAGTTCTTCAGCATCTATAAATAGTTCTATCATTCAATCGTTTCTGTCTGTCTATCTCTCACACAGACCATTAGAAGAAAAAATTCAATAAAAGACAAGTGCCTAAAGATCGGATAATGGAGGAATAGAATAGAACAGCAAAAACAAAAAGCAGAAAGTCAACAACCCTTTATAGTAACTAGGTCATGCACCATATAGGCACAGGGGCCGGGGCCCAATGATTTCTTCTTGAAGGAGGAGGAGGAGCATGAGCAGGGTTATACTTCAGAAAGCAACTTGTTACCACCGAGGGGTAAGAAATTTCTGTTTTCTTCTCTGAAATGTCTTCATTCTATTCTTCTAAGTTCTTAAAGAAAATGGCCAGTTACTCCTCACTTCCAACTTCAAAAGTCAAGTACATGTCCTCCCTCTTTAAAATTTATGTCTGAGTGTATGCACAAGTGTGTGTGAGTGTGCCTGTGTTCATCTTTCAGCTATGCTGTTAGTCAGCAAGCCTGAGCCCTACTCCTATCACTTACCACCCTTATTGAAGCTAGGGTGCAGGGAGCTGTAGGGATACCTAGCTTGTTACACCAGAGCTGAGATCCAAACAGTGGTCCTCATGATTGTGGAACAAGTGCTTTTAACCAATAATTCATCTTTCCAGCCCTTATACAAACCCATATTCTTAAGGTTGTTCAGAAAAGCAATAAACAAAATTTTGTTTGTGAGACTATAAAAAGAGAGAGAAGTATACTATAACAATATGTGTCAAATCAGTGAAGAGAAGATGTTTGTACTGGTTCCCTGGTCACTAAAACCATGAACTTACAATGTAAACCTCAATTTTGAAGCAGCCAATTCTTTTTAAATCACCTATGAGCACCTTCAAGTACTGCCTCTTTCATTTTAGACCCTAATACCGGCCACTTATACTATGTCATCTTTTGAAAGTTGGGCTAAATGCAATTTGTATTATGAGATAGCCTTGAGCCTCTTTAAAAAAAAAAGTAGATTTAGGCTTAAAAACTGGTATTTCAGCATCTGGTAAGGGTGGACTCCTGATGGTTAATATAGATTGTAAGCTTGACAGAATCTAGAATCATTTCAGAATGTCTGAGGGGTTTTGTTGACTAGATTAATTGGGTGGGAAGACCCACCCTAACAGGAGGTGGCACCACCACTCGGTTCATATTTACTTTAATGTCCAAAGTAAATAGACAAAGAAGTAGTAACTGTTAGGTCTCAAACACAGGTCAAACAGCAGAGATGCCTATTTAACGTATCAAAGCAGACCCAACTGCCAGGTTCTACCAGCAGCCCTCCGTCTCTACGGGTTACAAGGTATGGCTGGCATACCCTTCCCATTTTTGTTATCCGGGGCTTTTTGTCTACCCTCTACTCTCCTGGCCTTTTGGTCTCCTGCCCTGACCCACACTCTGCTCATGTGGCACAGCTCAGGGTCTTGTTCACTCTGGACTCTCCCAGATGTCTCTGCCTCTGCTATGCCCTCCTTTTCATCAACAATAAATCTCTACCATACCTAGGAGCAGTCATGGCTTCCTTTTATATCCTTTACATGGTTTTTTTTTCACTCAGTAACCTATAGAAAAATGCTAAAAAGAGCAAAAATCAGAAAAAGTGTCTACATTTTGTCTGAGATTTTGCTGATCTGTTAAACTGAACCTGAGCAAATAAGACAGAGGCAAAAAGTACTTTTTCCTAGGCAGTACTGACACTCCTTTAATCCCAGAACTCGGGAGCAAAGGCAAACGATCTCTGTGAGATCAAGGCCAGTCTGGTCTACAAATTGAGTTCCAGGACAGCCAGAGCTGTCACAAACAGAGAAACCCTGTCTTGAACCTACCCCCTACAAAATAGATAGACAGGCCAGGCGGTGGTGGTGCACGCTTTTAATCCCAGCACTTGGGAGGCAGAGGCAGGCAGATCTATGTGAGTTTGAGACCAGCCTGGTCTACCAAGCGAGTTCCAGGACAGACTCCAAAACAATACAGAGAAACCCTGTCTTGAAAAACAAACAAACAAAAAAAATTAAAAATCTTGCCCGGCGGTGGTGGCACACACCTTTAATCCCAGCACTCGGGAGGCAGAGGCAGAGGCAGAGGCAGAGGCAGAGGCAGAGGCAGAGGCAGAGGCAGGCAGATCACAGGAGTTTGAGGCCACCCAGGACAGCCTTCAAAACAATACAGAGAAACCCTGTCTCGAAAACCAAAAAAAAAAAAAAAAAAAAAAAAAAAGATAGACACATACATAGATACATAAATAGTACTTTCATTCTACACAGGTAAAAGAAACATGCATTCCAGTTATTAAAATAGTTTCTAAATATGACCCTTTTTCTTTAAATATAGCCTTTTAATGCTAATCTTATTCCTAGTTTAATCATCTAACGGGTTAAAAAAATGGCTACTTTGCAATTCACATTACTTGTATCTTATATATAGCACTTCTTTAATGAATAACCCTATACGAAAAACATTTTTCCAGACTTACTTTTCAAGCTCTTCCTGTGAATGGGCAAATGTACAATTTGTTCCTCGTGGACAACCCCCCTGTTGTCGTAAGTCTCTGCACATGCTAGTTTTATACTTGCTGTTTGGCTGAGGCTATAGCAACAAGCATTTAGCAAATGGAAAAGAGAAGATATCAGTTACTATTCACTTTTTGAACTCCAGAGTTTAATGATTATACCACCCTTAAGTCTCTTTCACAACCAAGAAGGAATCTGCATGCTGAAACAAGTTCCACCTCGTCATTTCCTACTGGGAGAGTGGTTACCCCTTAGGAAGCATTCAGGAAATTGACTGAAATTTATATTTACTTAGGCAATGTAAATTTCATGGACAATATTTCAATTTACTACTATTTTCAAATTGTGATAACAAAATGAAACAATTTAAAAAAATAGTAGACAAGGATCTTTACAGATTAAAACTCCTCCCAGAAAAAGTTGAAGTGAAAATTACCACTTCATTAATTGACTTGCATGCACAACTCTATTCATAGACAAACAATGATGGAAGATAAGAAAATGAATCTTAACTGCTATAATGTGTATCAAAATCTAAGAATTTGCTCTTACTTCTGTGACCTTCCTTAATAAGATAAAGCATTCATCATTCAGTTGACACCTGAATATTACAATATCTTCTAAATAAAATATGGATAGAAGAATAAGTAGTTTTCAGACTGTGGAGTACTTTTGACCCTGTCAGATACTGATTGTATAACCTTCAATATGATCTCGAAACCCTTTAAATTTCAGCTTGACAACAGCAATTACCCTCCAATTAGGGTTAGGACTGGAAATAAAATATGTTAAATCCTGTACATAGGAAGTGGCCCAAAACAAGGCAACAAATGAGTCATTTGGATAAGGGATTATAATTTAACTTCCCATTCTAAACTACAATAAAAATATTGGGGAATTCCTGTTGGGCAGTGGTGGCGCATGGCTTTAATCCCAGCACTCGGGAGGCAGAGGCAGGTGGATCTCAGTGAGTTTGAGGCCAGCCTTGTCTACAGGAGTGAGTCTAGGACAAGACCCAAAGCTACACAGAGAAACTCTGCTTCGAATAAACAAAACAAAAACAAAAAAATTGTGGAATTTCAAATTCCATATATATTACAAAACAGAAAATCACTTGCAAGATAGCAAAGGAGAAAAAAAACTTTCTGCTGAAAAAAGAACTGGACAAAATGTTTGGAAGGAATATTTGGCCAAAAACATTTGTAATTCAGGTAATATACTCACTATATTCTGAAAAGCTAACCAAATACAGTAACAAGTGACTTTTCCACAAAGGGTCAGAATAATAATTTTCAAAAAGGCTGGACATGCCACTCAGTGTCAGAACTGTAGCCTAGCCTGTCAAGCATAAAACTCTGGGCTCAATGCCTGTGTAGCTACACATGCAGACACACATGCACATCCCCTCTTATACACACAACTTCTAAGGAGTCTATTACATATCAAATGTTAATATGTTCAGGATGAAACTGTGTTAGACACAGCAGTAGTCAAAAATGTAATAAATCAACTTACCTGGGGTGTCTCGTGGCCTTTTCTACTATAATTTTGTATGAAGTCCACAAGACCATGAACCACTGTTTTAACAGCTACCATTGCATTTTCCAGCTGTTCCCAAGTTGGTGAAACAGCATCTAAATTAAGAACCAAAGGGATGGGGTGTGGATTGGAGGAGACAATGTATCAATGGTCACTCCCTTGTGCTATTTAGCTCAGAATTCTATGAAGAATAAGCACTAGTGCATTTTCCCACATACCTGGATTAGGATCTATGTTTGCAAGAAGTTCTAAATGAGGCCTCAGTCTATTTAAATTAGCTGGGTCACCTGTTCGTTGCAAAACAATTGTCAATTCCTGGACACTCTTTGCAAATGATTCTGGAGACTGTAGCTAACAACAGAAAAGAGAATAATTTTTACTCTGGATTTTAGCACACACCTATATTCAAATGCTTTCCAAAGACTCACCTTTCTTAATAGGTTTTCAAGTGTCTTCAGATTTCATAATAGGACGATCAATGATGAATTAAATTTCACCTCAGAATCTGCCCTATGAAACTCATCACTAGACACTTAGAAAACATATTTATCAGTTATACTAGCTCTCTGGGGCAAGAGTGTAGATAAAAGTTTTCAACCTTACAATGCTACAAAAGCAAAACACATTCAGTAGAAAGTGTTCTACATTTTACATTTAAGTTTTCTCAGGTCAATGACATGAAGTACAGTATTCACATGGGGTACAATGGCACTGAGCTACAGTTCTCAGTGAGCCACGTAAGCATGAGGTAAAAGCCAGTACTCCACAAAGCCCAAAGTGTACAGTGCTGCTAAGTTATAGTGCTCACTAGGTTAGACATGTGAAATCAATGTCTGGGTCAGATGGGCACATTAGGTTATAAACAGAGGAGTGTATGTGCTACAGTACTCTGTGAAATAGAAAGGATATAAGATCAGTACCTCTAATTCCACAAACCTTATCAATGATAGATTGCATGTGTGATTTATGAGCCAAGTCCCCATACAGCAGTGAGGACCACTGCTCAGGTGAAATACGGAGTCCTGCTTCCATGGCAATGTGAACAATTTGGGCATCATGTTCTCTGCGCAGTGCCTCATAACTCCGAAATTCCTCCTTTAACTGCATGAGGGAAGAGTCTTCATCCCTTTTAGTAACCTAGAAATGAAAAAGAAAAAAAAATTAAACTGCTCTTTCCCCTTACCCAATTCATTTACTTTAGGTGTAAGGGTTGGGGTAAAAGGGGATATAAATCAGACACCACACAAAGTAGAAAATGTCAACACAAATCCTTTTCAGAACAAAACAGAAATTATGTAACTATGTATTCAGTCTTTGTCTTCAATAAGTTCATCAGCATTTAGCAGAAAAGAAAGACTTAGAAACAGAAAATTGTAGTAATGGTGCTATTATAGGCTCCATGGCAACATGAATAAAAGGTAATTAAATATGACGAGTACAGGGAAGGAAATTGTTCAGAAAAGGTTATCTATTGGCAAATGACAATGATTTACATTACGAAAAATAAGATTTCTTAAGTAAAAGGGGAATTATCAGATTCTAAAAAAAAAGAAAAATGTAAAATGAAAATATCAATGAGCAGAGGGCACAGAGGTAAAAATTATTATATAGGTCAGAGAAGACACACAGATGGCCTTAAATATGATGATAAATTAGGTATTAAATACTGAGGGGAATGAAAAGTCACTGAGAATTTTTACAGAAGTGCTATGGTCAGATACATGTCTTAAGAACATAATTTTCCTTGCTTGGAAAGTTGTTGTTTGCTGTTTTAGTGAAAAGGAGTCCTGCTTTCTTGTTTGACGGGGAGCACAGCTGAGTGCACCTTCCTAAGAGAGTAGGGACAGATTAGTAGGAACATTACTTACTGTGGTTCTTTGAGAAATGAGATACTGCAGTTTCAGAAACTAGAATCCTGTTTCTAATGTTGAGACTGTCTTTGTACCTAGACCTAGAATAGTGCTGTGCAGAGTAAGTGCTTGCTTTTATTTTTGAATTCTCATAAAACCTGTGTGTGTGTGTGTGTGTGTGTGTGTGTGTGTGTGTGTGTGTGTGTGTGTGTGTGTACAGGTCAGAGAACCCTAGGAGTGAGTCCTCATCTTCCATCTTGTCTCTGTAAGCCAAAGTTCCTGGGGAAATCTCCTTTCAATCTCCCTGTACAGGCGCTTTGGGATTTAAGATTCAAAGCACACAAAACCCAAGCAAATTCTAAGACTCACACTGGACAAACTATTTGATCCATTCAAAACTCAACTTTATCTGCTGAGCATGATCATTCATGCTAAAAGACCAGCAGTCAAGAAGCTCATACAGAAGACTCATGAGCACAAGGTTCACTCGCACTATATAAGACCCTGTCACAAACACAACTTTGTTTCTTCATTGGTGAAAGATAAAAAAGCTCCAGATTACTCAGTGGTTGAATGTCTGCCTCTTCAGTCTAACCCTAACCCTCAAAATTATAGAAATCCCCTTGCCCAAACCTCCAAAGTGCTAGGATTACAGGCGTGGACCACTATGGCCTGCTTTTAGTAACCATTTTTATTTCTGCTGGCACATCAGACAGTAGTAATATGTCCCCCAACACATGAACACAAGGAAATCAGACATCACCTCAGAATTAACAGGCCATATACTCTTTGGGAATCTAAAAATGGTTTGAGACATTCAAATTTTTAACTAATATACTCTTTTATTTTATGTATATTGAGTATTCACCTGCACATATATATATTTACATCACAGGTGTGCTTTGAACCCATGGACCAGAAAAGGGTGTCAAATTCCCTGGAACCACCATGTGGATGCTGAGAACTAAACCCAGGTCTTTTTCAAAAGCAGCAAGTATTCCTTCCTATCACTGAGCCATTCATCACTCTATCCCCAATCAATACAATCTTAAGCATTTAATAATGAGTGGGGTGTGAATGTATCATAAAAGTTGGTATTCTTCAATAATCCACTTTAAAAGAACAGAGAAACAAAAGAAGAAATTATTAACCTAAATAAGGGGTGTAGTGTGGAGTAAACTAAAGATCTAGAGAAATAAATTATAGCACAATTCTAAGCATCATATACTGCACATATACCCATGGATAGCAAGAGCACCCAAGTAGTTGAAGAAGGATTTAGGTAACTAACAGTGCTTGATCCAATTAGTATCAATAGGTATTGAAATCACTGGTGAAGGGCTGGTGGAGATATAGCTCAGTTGATAAGAGTGCTTGCCTAGCATGCATGAAGCTGGGGTTCGATTCCCTAGCATTACATAAAAACTAGGCATTGAAGTGATGCACACCCATAGTCCCAGCAGTTGGCAGGTAAAAGGAAGAGGTTCATATGCTTACAATCATCCTCAACTATAGAACAGGATCAATGTTAGTCTAGGATAACAGGAGAACCTACCTTTAAACACACACACACACAATCAAAATCAAAATTTGAAATTTGTGACTCTTTGAAAGACATACTCGTAAGTCTACTGAATGAGAACTCTTGACAGAGCCTAGGAACATACAAATAGATGGCTCCAGTGCTGTATTTTCATTTGGGAACCATTGCACTAAACACAAAAATCATTCATTCTCCTTTTTTCTGATTCCATGCTTGGTAAACAAAGGAAAAAGACCATACAGCCACAAAAACCTGGTTGCTAAGCTCATTAAAAGACACTGAACAGTGATCGTTGGATTTTGTTTAGTTTTCTAAAAGTAAATGTCACATAACTGAGACCTTTCAGCATTGGAGTCTGTATCTCTTTAGCATTTCAAATTACATGGCAGTAAGGATGAAATGAAAAAAATTGAAGTATATCTATATATAATGCAAATGACAAATAACATTGGGATCTAACAATCATAAATCACAGAGCAGTTAGACACCTACAGAAAAAAAAAGAGTTGTAGGTACTTCAGTGAACACAGTGGGAAAGCCTAGTCAGTCAAGTGTAAATGACAAACAACCTCTATTAAATTGGCTGCTTAGCCGAAAAATGTTTGAGAAACTAGCTTGTAACTTAAATCATTACCTTTTGTAAGGATATGAAATCAAGAGCTACAACTATCAGACAGAGTGTCCCAACCTCATTAGCAAAGGTAAATGAACACATATGAACATACTTCCATCATCAATCGCCCATTTTCTAAACTGGAGTACTTCCAAGGAAACCTTTTTCAATCTTGGAGCCTTAAAATGAACAAAGGAATCTAGACATGTGTGATTTACTTTCACAAAAGCCTAGAGGTCTTTTCACAAAATCTCTTCATTTTTCAGGTGCTAGCTAACAACCTACACTCTGTGAGAGATAGAAAACAGGATTCAGGTAGCTTTTCTCGTCTTTTAGCGGCCTACAATAAAATTCCACTTTGAAATAGTCTTCACATTGCATCAAACAAATACCAAACATTGTGGCAACCTTCTCAACTTCTGAATTTCGTTTTTGGGGGAGCCAGTTTTTGAGACAGGGTTCCTGTGTGTAATACCCATAGCTATCCTGGAAGTCCCTCTTGAGACCAAGCTGGTCCTGCCTCTGCCTACCGAGTACTAGGATTAAAGGTATCACCATACCTGGCTAACCTTGAATTTCTTGTGGACTGTTTTCACATTAAGACTTTTATCACTACAAAACAAAAAGCACAATGGATTACAATATTTTCTACTCATATGAAGTCTACAATATGATTTGGGCCTCCTTGGTTTTTTGTTTTGTTTTTTCAAGACAGGGTTTCTAGGTGTATCCCTGGCTGTCTTGTAACTCACTCTATAGACCAGGCCGGCCTTAAATCCAGAGGATTTGCCTGCCTCTGCCTTATAAATTCTGGAATTAAAGGCTAGAGGGACACCTTGTTTAAAACAAAGAAGTGAGGTTTCTTTGGTTTACTTTTTATAAGTTTCTACAAGAGCCTAAAAGTTAGAAATTTACATATGTTTGATTCAATATTCTTGAGACCAAGTACCTGGTATCAAAAATTAATAATTGATGGGGAAGTCCTTCTGTATATATGTTGTCTTATTAAATAAAGCACTGTTGGCCAATAGGGAAGGAAGATAGGTGGGATTAGGAGTCGAGGAGGATTCTGGGAAACAGAGGCATAGTCAGTCATGATGTAGGACGCGGGAGAAGTAAGAGGTCCAAACCCTATTCTTTGATAAGAGAAGATCACGTGGAAATACTCAGATTAGCAGTTATGGATTAATAATTAAGTCACAGATAGCCAATAAGAAACCAAGCAAATGGCCAAGAGTTTCACAGTTAATATAGTGTTCCGTGTGCTATTTGGGGGCGGAGACAGCTTGGGACCCAGGTGGCTGGTGGGAAGAATACATGTTACAAATAACATAGAAGGAAAAATGAAAGAACAAGTCCTCTGAACTTTGGAAGTGTTCTGTATTTTTGGGGTCACTACACTAGGTAACATGGATTCTAGGAAGCTTCTGCCTCATATATAAGCATGTGATCTTGAGAGTTGTACAGCACTCACCTTAAAACAAGAAGCTCGATACAGTAGCTGCACAACGTGACCAATACTTGTTTTTGATGCCTGAGGAAATCTTGGTTCCAGTCTTTGCACAACAAAAAGTACCAAAACTTTCCTTGAGAGGGCAGAACCATCTTCTAATGCCAGCAACACCAACTTCAAGGCTTCTTCTTGCATAGCTAGAAACATTAAAGAACAAAGATTACACTCATGTCTGTCAAAAGTATATTCGGGTATCAATTAATGGTGGTATACCATGAAAATCTGCATCTAATTAGCATGAAATTGATCAAGGGTCAGCAAAGTGACTCATGAGGTAAAGACGCTTGCTGATTGTTGTGTGATATTTGGTTTGTTCTGACAAATAAAGCTTGCCTGGAGTCAGAGTCACTAGTTAACCATAGAGGTCTGGAGGAATGTAGACAGAGTCAGTAAGTGACAATAGAGCAGAGAGAAGATCTCTGTCTTTTCAGTCTGAGGTTTCAAGAGAGGTAAGTCAGTCTCCGGTGACTGCTGCTCTGTTTCTCTGATCTTCCAGCTTTTACCCCAATACTTAACTCCTGAATTTTTTACTGATTAGTTAGATTCATGCTTCATTTGATCAAGGCTGGTAACCTGAATTAAATCCCCAAAACCCAGGTAAAGAAAAGACTCCACAAAATCCTCCCCCAATCTCCACACGTCTCAATGTACACTTGCAGTTAAACAGATCCAATTGTACACATACAATATTAATTTTTTTTATTTTTGTCTTTTTTGAAACAGAGTTTCTCTTTGTAGCTGTGGCTGTCCTGGAACTCTCCATATAGACCAGGATAGCCTTGAACTCTGAGAACTACCTGTCTGCCTACTGAATGCTCAGATTAAAAGCATGTGGTACCATGCCCACCTTGCAATATTAAAATTTAAAAAAATAGATTAATATGAATGAAAGTTTCCTTCACATGTGTATACATGTACCATGTGTGTGCCTAATGCCATGGAAATTCAGAAAGGGTCTAAGACCCCTGGAACTGGAGTTTACAGATGGTAAGCCACTATGTGGGTACTGAGTCCTCTGCAAGAGCAAAGACTGATCTTAACCACTAAGTCATCTCTACAGCACCATAAATAAGAATTTTAAAACAAAAGAAAACATACCTTGCACTAAATGACCAATCACAGGTGTGAACAAGACTATATTTTACTATCATTATTGTTTTAAATTATGTATGTATGAGTCTGAGTCTATGTGCATATGCATAGGCTAGAGGGGTCTTATCCCTTTGAGATTGAGTTACAAGTTAGTCACCTGCTGTAGATACTGGGAATCAAACTCTGTAATAGCAGTAAATGTTCTTAAACACTGAGTCATCCTTCCAACCCAGTGAACAGAACTTTTAATAAAATATCTTCTGTAGGTATTTGACAGTAATTAGATAATGATGTTAATGGGAAAGCAATTCATAAAACAGAGAACACTTTGGCAATGATAATTTGTAACGGACATACATATTTGGCTTATGCACAAGACAATTAATGTGCTTGTCATAAACTATATTGTCTATAATTTTAAATAATATTAGTCTTTAGGTAGAATACCTAAAGAAGGCATTAACTTCACTTATATTGATTGATTGATAGATTGATTTATTATTTCTCGGTTTTTCAAGACAGAGTTTCTGTGTAGCCCAAGCTGTCCTGTAAAGACCAGGCTGGTCTCAAACTCAGAGATCCTCCTGTCTCTGCACCCAAGTGCAGGTATTAAAGGTATGTGCTATCACTACGTAGTTACTTAGGATGTTTTATAATTAGGAAAATAAAAAATATTCTCAGTCAAATCATGAGGGAACATCAGGCAAACCTAAAATGACAAATTTTAAATAAAATAAATGTTCTGTATTCTTCAAGAATATCAATGCCAAACAAGACTGATAATGGTTCAAGATAAAGAATGCTGATGGAATAACTAAGATCAAAAACACTAATGACAGCTTATGTTGGAGAGGATGTGGCATAAGGGGAACACTCCTCCACTGCAGGTGGGAGCGCAAACTTGTATAACTTTGGAAATCAATATGGCAGTTTCTCAGAAAATTGGGGATTCATCTACCACAAGGCCCAGCTATACTAATCTTGGACATATACCCAGAGGATGCTCAATTATACCATAAGGACACTTGCTTAATTATGTTCATAACAACTTTATTCAAAATAGCCAGAACCTGGAGAAAACCTAGATGTCTCACAACTGAAGAATGGATAAGGAAAATATGGTACATTTATACAACGGAGTATTACTCAGCTGTAAAAAAAAAATAACCTAATGAAATTTGAAATGGAAAGACAAACATGGTATTTTTCACTCGTAAGTAGATATTAGAAGTATAGGATAACTAACCGACAATCCACATCCTCATAGAGGCTAGATAACAATGAAGGCCCAAAGAGGGGTACACGGATTTCCCTGGGAAGGGAAATAGAGGAGATGTTCTGGGTAAACTGGGGCAGGGGTGGAGGGGATAGAGGGATGAGAACTTGAGGGAGCTTGTTGGGCAGGCTGAGTGCAGGAGGCAGGTTGGGGGCAGGATGGAGAGGAAGAGTAACAAAAGAGATGTCTTCATGGGGGGGGGCATTTCCGGGTTAGGAAGAAAACTGGCACCAGGGAAATGCCCAGGAATCTACAAGGATGACCTCTAAGACTCCTAGCAATAGTGGAAAGTGTGCCTGAACAGGCCATCTACTGTAATCAGGTTGGTGACTGCCCTAATTATCATAGAGACACTCTATCCAGTAACTGATGGAAGCAGATGCAGAGATCCACAGCCAAGCACTGGGCTGAGCTCCTGGTATCTTGCTGAAGAAAGGGAGGGGACTGTACAAGCCAAGGGCGTCATGACAGAGTAACTCACAGAGACAGTTGACCTGAGCTCGTGGAAGCTTATGGATCAGCAGTTAGGAAGCCTGCATGGGACCAACCTAGGACCTCTGCATGTGTGTGACAATTGTATAGTTTGTAAGGCTCCTAGCATTGAGATCAGGACCTGGTGTTTAGCTGGCTTTTGAGAACCTGTTCCCCATGCTAGATTACCTTGCCCAGCCTTGATGCAGGGGGAGGAGCTTGGTCATGTGTCATGTTCAAACCCATGGGAGCCTACCCCTTTCCTGAATGGAAATGGAGAAGTAGATGGTGAGGAGGGTAGATGGGAAGGGTGTGGGGGTGGGGACAGGACTAGAGGAGGGAGGGGAAACTGCAGTCCGTATGTAAAATAAATGAAAAAAATTATTAAAAAAAAAGAAGAATGCTGATGGCTGGGCATGGCAGCAGAGTCTGGTAACACTTGGAAGGCTTACCTCGTAAGTCCCAGACAACATATTACTTTACACTTATATACATATTTGTAATAGGTGATGATTTTTACAAGTTTTACATAAGACCATTATCACATCTAACAAAAGTAATGTATTTCTTTTTTTTTTTTTTTTTTTGGTTTTTACGAGACAGGGTTTCTCTGTTTTGGAGGCTGTCGGTCCAGCCTGGCCTCGAACTCACAGAGATCCGCCTGCCTCTGCCTCCCGAGTGCTGGGATTAAAGGCGTGCGCCACCACCGCCCGGCAGTAATGTATTTCTTTAATCTAATATCTACTCCATATTTTATTTTTCCCATAGTCTGAAAAACATTTGCTTATAGTTAAAGTTTCCAAAGATATTTAAAGAAGCACCCAATTCTTTTGCCACATTTCAGTCTAGTTGTCCATTTTCCCCAATACCCTGTCTCAAAAAAAAAACAAAAAAAAAACAAAAATCAAAACAAAGTAAGTTTCCTAAGAGCTAAAGAGATGGCTCAGAGGTTAAGAGCACTAAGCTGCTTTTCCAGAGGGCCTGAGTTCAGCTCAAGTACCCATGTCATTCAGCTCACAACCACCTATAACTCCATTCCAGGGTGTATGACACCCTGGCCTCCCTGGGTGCCTGAACACATGTGAAATACATTCCCAGAGACAAAAATAAAATGCATGCCCTTTGCATTCTTAACACCCAGCACTCGGGAGGCAGAGGAAGGCGGATCTCTGTGAGTTCGAGGCCAGGCTAGACCGACAGCCTCCAAAACAATACAGAGAAACCCTGTCTCGTAAAAACCAAAAAAAAAAAAAAAAAATACCCCAAACCATCAAAATAAAATATGAATCCTATATAAATTTTATCTAAATTACAGTTCTAAATCAAAAAACAAATCTCCCAATTAACAGTTAAGTTTATAACTTGGCATAGAGATGTTTTAGACAGGCATCCATAGCACTGATCATAAAGAAACTTCTTGCTGGTTTCCTTATTTCTTATGTCTTCCAAGTGTTAGCAACCAATCAAGAGTTTATTATTTATATCATGCTTCCCCTCACCAATAACTTTGCCTTCCTTGATGTACCTGTGCAGTTGTAGGTCCTTTCCTAAATCTACAAACTGCTGATGAGCCCTCTATCTCACTGATGCTCAAGAAATAAATGAGAATTTCTTCCAAAGCACTGGCTAAAAGAACAGACTATGACTTATACTTTACTATGTCAGGACATGCAGGATTTTTTACTTGACCCTAAAAATTGGCATCCTCAAGATCTAATAACCAATAAAAACACTAGGGTGTTGATCTATTTTACCTGGCCCTAGAAACTGGCATCCTCGAGCCCTGACAGCAGCCCACAGGTTGGCAGACAGTTGCTGAGGGTTCTGGTGCTGCAGGATCAGTTCTGTCACAGTTCTTTCTCCCAGTGAGCGGGCAGCTCGCATAGCTCTCACACGACCTTCTTCTTCCACCAGTTGACAGTTTACGAGAGTAACTAGCTTCCTTTGCATTGGACGGCTCAGGGCACTCTGGTTCAAACTAGCTACACCTTGAACAAATGGAGACAAACGAAAGTCAACATTTAAAAAAAAACAATTTTCATTATCTGTATTTAATCATTAAAATAGTTCTTTATGAGTCTCTTGATAAACAATTTGATTTTTCTAACTGAATATTAAGTCCCTGTTTATTACCATTCTGTGATAATAAAGAGCCTAGTTCTTAAATACTTCAGATTTCATTTAAGTGTCTTGTTCTACAGGCTGGTATGTCCAAAGACATACTGGGATTTACTTTACTTTCACCTTTAAAAAAGTACCTGGTAAATTTACAGACAAATGAATACAAATTTGAACCTTAAAACATAACAAACATTGCACACAAGAAATGTATTGGCAGGTGGTGGTGCATACCTTCAATCCCAGCATCCCAGAGGCAGAGGCAGGTGGATCTCTGTGAGTTTGAGGCCAGTCTTGTCTACAGAGTGACTTCCAGGATAGGCAGGCCTACACAAAGAAACCCTGTCTCAAAAAAAAAAAAATATATATATATATATTTATATTTTATATATATATATATATTCCCTTCAGGGCACTGCTCAGAAATCCTCCCTCTTCTACATCATACATTTTTTTCCCTCTGCTTGATCATTTCCATCAGCAAAATACTTAACAACAAGTATGCAACCATTCCACCTAACTCAAAAATGTAGCTTTTTTTTCTCTTTTCCAGACAGGGTTTCTTTGCATAGGCTTTGCTGTTCTGTCCTGGAACTCATTCTGTAGACCAGGCTGGCCTTGAACTTGAGATCCACCTGCCTCTGCCTCCCGAGTGCTGGGATTAGAGGCTGCATCACCACAGCACTGCTTATAAGCAATTTTTTTTAAAGTGACTTTTCTTTTTTTACTAGTTGTCTTATTTCTTTACTTCCTTGTGTAGTAAATCTTCTATTATTGGCCTTTCTTCCTCACAGCTCCTATTTTGGTAGACATTCTGAATACATAGCCTAAGTCAGCCTTAAATATGCTATGTAGCCCAACTGCCTTCAACCTGGCTATCTTGTACATTTTCTATTATACACTATTTCCAACATCTTACTTAACAAGTATAGAAAACCTAATCCAATTCAAGGTTTTGCCAAACTATCTCTTACAACAAACTGCTCATCAAGATAATTACATCTACTTTGCTAAACCCATAGTTAATTCTGAACCCTTATTTCATTTGACTTTTCAGTAACATTCAATATGAATGACTTTAGTCTTTTAAGCACTTTATTTTGGTTTCCAGAATATTCCATTTTCTTAGTTTTCATCCTTCTAGTAGCCTTTGACAGCAGTTTTTAACCCCCAACCCTGATCTACAGTATTCAAGAGACTATCTTATAAGCTCGTTACTCAGATGATCCCATCCAGTCTCACTGCTCCATAAAACATTCATGCTATAATAATCCCCAAAGTAATAGCCATGCACCTCATGCTTAATTCAAAATTTATATATCTACTAGTTATTCAATCCCAGCTAAATGAATCTTAGACGTCTCAAACTTAATATAACCAAAACTGAACTTGAGCTTCTTGCCCAAGCCTGATCGACATGCACTATTCCAAAGCTGCAGCAACTCTCATTGCAGGTACTTAAGCAAAAACTACAGAAGTTACACTGGACTCTTCTGCTCTGTCTCTCAAATTCCAGATCTAGGGAACATTCTTGCTCTACCTCCAAATGTATCCAAACTTGATACCAAGCTCCATTTTTGTTAACAGTACCTCAATTGCTCAACTGTTCACTAATCCTTTTGTCCTTCCATACTGTCTCAAGACAACAGCCGACTCTCTTTCCAGCTCTTTACCCCATCCTCTTTCCTGTTGTTCCCCTGGGGCAGATAGGACTCTTCCTGTCTCCTGCTTCTCTTTTGTCTGCTCTCTCTGTCTCTTTACCTCTTTTCTCTTTCCTTCTCCCTCCCTCCCCTTTCTAATAAAATATCTCACCAAAAAGAGAGAACAGCTGAAGGAATCCTTTTCTTTCTTTTTTTTGGCCATCATTTTTTTTTAACATTCCAATCCCCATTCCCCCTCCCTCCTCTCTTCCTACCCCACCCACATCTGCTCCTCGGAAAGGGTAAGGTCTCTCCTAGGAAGTCTACTAAGTCTGTCCCATCATCTCCTTGAGGCACCTCTCCACACTGACACCTCTGTGTCTAGACTGAGTAAGGTTATCTCTCCATATAGAAAGGGCCAAAGTAATCCTTTTAACTTTAGCAAGTTATGTCACTACTCTGTTTAAAACCACTGCCCAACGTTGCTCAGAGCAAACGCTCAAGTCTTTAAATGATCTGAAAGTCAGTGTATCACCTTGCCTCATGATATTTCATCTTAACTTTTCTTGTAATACTGTCCTCACTCACAGTACTCCAAACACACTCTCTACTTGCCACAGGGTCAATACACTGGATGGCTATTCCAACTGACAAGAAAATACTTTGCCAGAATCTACTACAGTACCCACCTCATCTCTTTTACCTCAATTCAATTTCCAGAGCTATATTCTAAACAAAGGACTTCAGTAGACATTCTTAAAATCTGTAATCTGTCTTTATCCTCTCACCCTGACATTTTAACCTGAGTATTTTCCCTTTATTCCAATTCCCATTTACACTATATAAACTAATTCATCGTGCTGTTTATTATAATTTTCCTTTTATAGAAATACAAGTACGACATATAGGTCCAGGTTGTGTTTTCCTGTTTACTAAAGTATCTCAGGCATTCTAAGTCCACACTTTTTAATAGGCACAAAATAAATATTTGATTCATTCAATAACTATTATATTTGTAAGAAATAGATAGCTAATCACTGGAAAAGCAATGATAAACTACAATTCTGCTTTTGCCAAAGCAATTAAAATTATTTATTACAGTTATACACCCATCCAATAGACTGTGAACTCCATGACAGGCAGTAACTCTAGCCAACATTACGAGCTCAACACTTAACATCTGACCAAGTCTGTTTTTGTTTTTATTTTTTTTCCAGAGACAGGGTTTCTCTGTACTGTTTTGGAGGCTGTCCTGGAATTCACTCTGTAGATCAGGCTGGCCTCGAACTCACAGAGATCAGCCTGTCTCTGCCTCCAGAATGCTGGAGTTAAAGGTGTGCACTACCACTGCCCAGCCTCAAACACATCTTACATACTTATTAAAATGTCACTTACAAGCTGGGTGGTGGTGGCACACGCCTTTAATCCCAGCACTCGGGAGGCAGAGGCAGGCGAATCTCTGTGAGTTCGAGGCCAGGCTGGACCGACAGCCTCCAAAACAATACAGAGAAACCCTGTCTTGTAAAACCCAAAAAAAAAAAAAAAAAGTCACTTAAAACTTACCTTTACCGCCACTTAGTGGTTTTAAGTAGAGTGCCAAATCTTCAACGCATTTTTTTGCCACTTCATAGTGTTTATTCTCACCTAGACTACTTAATTTTATTGACTGATGATCTGGTACCTAAAAAATGAAAAAATTGCAGCGATACATTTATTTACCTCATGCAGCTTCTCTCTATATACCTGCTAGTAATCTTGGTGAGTATAAAATTGTTATACAAAGATACATCAAAGCCATTTAAGTGAACTTAAAATGAATATGGAAAGTTAACAGTATCTTGTCATTGTTAATCTTCAAAACAAAATTAAGAAAAAGAGTCAGGGATTCTGCCTTCACCCCATACTATTTAATACTGACTTCTACATGATTTACCTATTATTTTATACTTTATGACCTATGCCCCCTTGACAGAATGTAAGCACCAGAGATATAACTCAATGATGAGAATTCCCAACTTGCACATATGAAACCCTTGGTTTAATCCCCAGCACCAGAAGAATAAAAAAGTAAAAAATAAAACGTGGGTAAACGTGAGGCTCTGCTACACCTATGTGTGATCCTGAAAAAATTACTTAATTGGTTCATATCAATTTCTACATCTACAAAATGATGATGATTTATGTTTCATGTTATTATAAAAGTTCAATTCAGTCCAATACTGATATTTAAAGAACATTTCTCACGTGCCTACACTATGAACCAATCAATAATCAAAAGAGAAAATGTCTCGTCTCAAAGATAAGAGACAGCCAATAAATAAATAAATAAATAAATGAATACTATGTTAGAAATTGATGGGGGATGTCCTTCTGTATATATGCCTTCTGAATATGTTTCTCTTATATTGGTTGACGAATAAAACACTGTTTGGACAATAGAGGCAGGAAGATAGGAGGGACTAGGAGACGAAGAGAATTCTGGGAAAGATAGGCAGTGAGAGAGACTGCAGAGAGATGCCACATAGCTACCAAAGGAGAAACAGGTCTGGACATTCTCTGGTAAGCCAAGACCATGTGCAAATATATAGATTAATAAAAATGGGTTAATAATTAAGAAAGAGCTAGCCAATAAGAAGCCCTAGCCATTGGGAAACATATGTGGAACAAGAAAAGCAGAGAGAGCCAAGCAGTGATGGGGCACACCTTTGATCCCAGCACTCGGGAGGCAGAGGCAGGCGGATCTCTGTGAGCTTGAGGCCAGCCTGCTCTACAAAGCAAGTGCCAGGACAGCCTCCAAAACTACAGAGAAACCCTGTCTCGGGAAAAAAAAAAAAAAAGCCAACCACAATAACAAAAACCAAACAAACAAAATATGGAGAGGGCTGGAGAGATGGCTCAGTGGCTAAGAGTCCTCAAGGCTGTTCCACATGACCCAGGTTCAGTTCTAGCACGCATGTTGGGCAATTCAAATGGCCTATAACTCCAGTCTTAGGAATCTAACATCCTCTTTGGAACACTTGCACTCATGGGACATCACGAATACAGACACGCACAAATAAAGGTAAGTTTTTGGGGCTGTGACATTCCTACATATAGACAGACACACACAATTAAAAATAATAAAAATAAATTTTACAAAGGAAAGAACTGGAGAAGGGTTACAATTTATTGTATAGTCAGGATAAACTTCCCAGAGAACTGCAACATTTGTAAGTATTTCATTGTATTAATATACATAGCATATCTGAGAACTGGTTAGGAGGCCAAGATAGGTAGAGACAGAGAAGAGATGAACCTGAAAAGATGTATGTCACAATGCACACATCCATAGACTATTTCAAGCACTATCAATTACGCATTTACTCTGAAGGATTAAGACTATCTGAACTATAGCAGACAGACAATAGCTAGTATTATTGCAAAAAGCAAGTATTTTATTGGATCTTAAAGTGTTACTGTTGTCAAGAGACAGAATTATTCTATCATACATAAGGAAAAACATGTTACCAATTAAACCATGACACTATTGATTATGGAATCACTGTCTAGCTTGATTTTAAAGCAGTGAAAATAGATTTTGAGCATTAAAAGGACAACTTCACCTATCAAGATATTAAAGTAAATATAATGAATTGTTAAATTTCCTGAAAAAGCAAAGAAGCTTTATTAAACTGTAAACTCCTTGCTTTAGTTAGTTTTGTGTTTGTTGTTTTTGTAGACGTTGTTTTACTTGACATTTTAGAGACAGAATTTCCCTGTTTAGGCCAGACTGGCACTGAACTCTATCTTCTTTCCTGGAGCACCGAGTTCCCTGGCATGCCACTACTTTCTTGTTTAATATGTACCGTGCCATGCATGGAATTTCATCTTCTCATTTGTAAGTAGAGGTAATAGGTACCGATAGAGCTAAGGTAAGAATCAGAAATAACATTCAGAGTATTTATTTTCATATGTACCATGGAACAGGCACTAATCAAATAAAAGCTGTTTATCAAATCTAGGTTCTTGCTGAGAACTTTAGTTGGTTTGTTTCTATTTAAACCTTTGATTATAGTTTTCAGATGACTTAATACATAAATATAGTTATGTTCACATACAAACTGTTTCTCAACAACCATAGCACTGATATTCATAAATTCAGGCCTTGGTATTGAGAAAACAGAGGAGATAAAATTGTAATGGGATTCAATTTTTTGCTTAAGAATTTGTAGCATTAAGAAAAGTATTTTTAGGAATACCTCACAAAAAGTAAATAAACTAATACCTTTTAGGTTTCAACTACCCCTCAATATGCTCTGTACTGGCTAAGGAACTAGTTTTGACAACTGATACACTAAATCAGTAAAAACCCTGAACACTTACCTGGGCTCCAACTAACTGAAGCAGTGCAAAGTTGACAGGGAGCACATCAATGTCTGTGTTTATGGCAGTTTGGTCAAAAGGACACGCTTTTCGGTGAAGTTTATTCAAGCAGGTCTTGCAAACTGTATGTGAACAACCTAAACTGATGGGTTTGTGCACATTCTCATCAAATTCATTATAGCAGATTGGACAGGACAGGAACTCTGTCCATTGAGCTGCCTGCACAGGCATTGTGGAAGCTGATGCTCGGGTTAGCAGTCTAGCAGATCATTATTTTGTTGTGTAGTGTTTTATAAGCTGCAAATGAACAAAATTAAGAATTAACAATGTATTTATTAGTCATTCAGTTAACTTAAAATCAACTACCATCACTGCAGAATCTGAAACATTTCTGAATATAAACTTTAAAGGTCTCTATAAAAACAAATAAGAAACTATATGTTGACTGTGCTGACATTTTGTTTTTACTGTAACAGAGATTACCTGGAGATCAGAGTGCAGAGATAAGCTACTAGTTAGCCATGGAGGTCCAGCAGGGCTGGCTCACACCTTTAATCCCAGTACTGGGGGGGGGGGGAACGCAGAGAGATCTCTCAGAGTTCAAGGCTACCCTGGATTGCATAGATTGAATCTGTCTAAAATTAGAGAAACAGAGATCACAAAAAGGTGATCCCAGCACTTGGGAGATGGAGATAGAGTGATACAGCTGGGTGGAGAGAGGAATATAAGGCTGAAGGAGACAGGAACTCAAGGCAGTCTGAGGATTCATAGAGATAGAGCAGTCTAAGCAGTCCTAGTCTGAGGATCGACCCTTTATTCTGAGCATTGATAGAGGTAAGAACTCCAGTCACTGGCTGCTCTGTTTCTCTGATCCTTCAGCTTTCACCCCATAGTTTTTATTATTAAGAACAATTAGAATTTGTGCTAAATTTTGAAAATTTACCCAGAAGCAATTTAATATTACTCCTTTCAACTAAACTCTACTGATTGTTCATGTAATAGTAAACAAAACTTCTGTGTAGTTTTCTTCCTGAACAAAAACATATTTTAACATTCTATTTTTTATTACAATTTATGTTTTTATTTTGAACTAGTGTATGTTCACGTGTTTCTATGTATGTATGTGGCCCATGAATACCATGGTATGCTAGTCAGTTTTCTCCTTTCACCATGTGGGATCTGAGGATGACCACAAGTCATCAGGTTTGGCAGTAAACATCTTTACTATCTCGCTTGCCTTTTACATTCTGTCTTTTAAGAACACAAACTACAGCCAGACAGCGGTGGCACACACTTTTATCCCAGCACTTGGGAGGCAGAGGCAAGCTGAGGCCAGCCACCTGGTCTACAGAGCTAGACAGAGAAAGCCTGTCTTGAGAAGAAAAAAAAAAGAAAAGAAAAGAACACAAACTACTAGACTTAAAGTTACAAGTGTTTTCCTTGGAAAACTACTACCCCAAAATATACTGATAGGGCTTAATAGCTAGTAAGTTTCAGGAAATTATTGACCAAAACAACACTGTAGAGATGGGGATGTAGCTCAGTCATACAGTGTCTGTTCAGCAGGCAGGAAGTCCTGACTCAATTCCTAGCATCACAATATCACAACAAACAACACTTTACACTTCAGTGTGAAAAGTCACCCTGTCACTTAAAGGAGTAAGTCTGTGGTTAGGATATGCCTCAGAAGCTAAGTGAGTTACTGAAAATCTACAGACAAGACTGTGATGACACAGGTGTTGCCTATAAATGAAAGAATGATGCCAAACTAAAGCAAAGGATATATTGTCTAGGTCATTAAGATGGCTCAGCAAGTAAAGACACTTGCTGCTAAACTTGACAACCTGTGCTCAACCCCTAGAACACTGCAGGAGAGAACCAACTTCCACAAGTTGTCCATTAACATGCAGTGTTACATTCAACTCCTCCCCACAAAGTAAAACACAAAAAATAAAAATTATCTAAAATTTTTTGTCATAGTTCATTATAATATTTTTGACAAAAGTGTATGTCTGGGGCTGGAGAGATGGCTCAGAGGTTAAGCACACTGGCTGTTCTTCCAAAGGTCCTAAGTTCAATTCCCAGCAACCACATGGTGGCTCACAACCATCTATAGTGAAATCTGGTGCCCTCTTCCGGCCTGCAAGGATACATACAATGTACACACAGTGAATAAAAAAAGTCTTAGAGAAAGAAAAAAAAAAAGTGTGTCTGCATCCAAAACTTGTCAGACCCATATAATTGCAGAGCTGTCTAGTGCCTCTGGAGCACTGTCCTGATGATCTAGGGAAACCAAGGACAGTCAGTTCTTAGTTTGTTGTTGCCCAGCAGCCTATGAGACCCTCACTCAGCAGAGTTAGTATCTGTCTGAGAAATACCACTTCATGTTGTTCTCTTTAAATAATTCTAAGCAGAAAATAGGAAAATACAAAATGTCTACCTTTGTACTGATTATCGTAGGCACATAGAAAAATAACTATGAGGGAATCATGTATTTCCTTGTTGAATAGTTGCATAGCATTTAGTAAAATAAAGCAAGAATCAAAATCTAAACTATATTATTTAATTCATAAATCCTCGAGGTTTTCCATTTTAAAACTATGTAAAGCCAAGTGGTGGCTCACGCCTTTTATCCCAGCACTAGGGAGGCAGAGAGGCAGGCGGACCTCTGTGAGGTCAGCCTGGTCTACAGCCTGATCTACAGATCGAGTTCCAGGACAGATTCCAAAGGTACAGCCAGGACTGTTAACACAGAGTCTCAAAAAACAAAAATCTTATATCTGAAAAAGCCTGACAAAGGCCATCAGGTAAACAACAAATCTAGTAGGGATTTAGAGTAATTGAACAGCCAATACTTTATCTCATACAAATGTTTACCAACCAAATATTAGACATACAGAACACTTTAAAGAGTAATAAGTATCAGGCTAGAAAACGTAAAAATGAGCACTCCCTAGTACCCCAAGAGGAAAACCATCAAAAACTCTAGTGGCTCTTACTGTACTTCAATATTTTCAAAAATTAAAAATTCTTAGTAAACACAAATTACAGGTCAAACTATATATATATATAAAAAAAGCATCCCATACAATGCACAAATCTTCACTAAACAGCTCTAATGAAGAAAAAATGTGGATATTGTTTTTCAGACTGTAGAATTATAAATCCAGGCAAAAAGATAAATTTCGTCTTAAGTCTACAACTGGAGCTCTGAACTGATAACATGAAGTGGTATTTCTCAGACAGATACTAACTCTGCTGAGTGAGGGTCTCATAGAGTGCAAGGCAACAACAAACTAAGAACTGACTGTCCCTAGTTTCCCTAGATCATCAGGACAGTGCTCCAGAGGCACTAGACAGCTCTGCGATTATACGCATATACAGACACACACCACCAGAGCTTTTAATAGTGTTGACAAGTTTAGTTCATATTTAGAAACTAAATAAATGCCTCCAACAAGTAAAGACATCAAACTTTGACAATAGCTACCAAGTTTTTCTCCTGCTGTATGTGAGATTCTAACAGCAAACTTAGAAACTACACTTTACTTATATGATTTGATTCCTAAGAATGTTTTCCTTTTGTATGGTAATCACTAAATTTTAATAAATTCATTAGTAAGAAATTAAGATTTTTATCCAAAACAGAAATTTACATAGCCCATTAAAATACTTCACTAGTGACAAAATTGGAATTTCAACTCTATTAAAAGGTACTTTTTCAGGCCGGGCGTTGGTGGCGCACACCTTTAATCCCAGCACTCGGGAGGCAGAGGCAGGCGGATCTCTGTGAGTTCGAGACCAGCCTGGACTACCAAGTGAGTTCCAGGACAGCCTCCAAAGCCACAGAGAAACCCTGTCTCAAAAAACCAAAAAAAAAAAAAAAAGGTACTTTTTCTTCTGGTTTTCTGAGACAGGGTTTGTCTGTGTACTCCTGGCTGTCCTGGAACTTACTCTGTACATCAGGCTGGCCTCAAACTCACAGAAATATCCCTGCCTCTGTCTCCTGAGTGTTGGGATGAAAAGTGTGTGTCACCATGCCAGACAAAAGGTATTTTATTAAGCTTATCTACAAAATACTCCTATAAGAAATGAGTCTATTAATTTTATATTTTAAGAGAAGCATGTAAATGAACAATGGAAAGTTAAGTATATTAATTTATAGAACATTTAGGCTTACAGTGATGCATTTTAACAATGACTTGACTCATTGAATATCTTAATTGCTGCTTTTTGTTGTTACTTTTTTTGAGACAGGGTTATTATGTAAAACAGTCCTGGCTGTTCTGGAACTCACTCTGTAAACCAGGCTGATCTCGAACTCACTGAGATCCACCTGCTTCTGTCTCACAAGTGCTGGGATCAAAGGCGTGCGCCACCACAGCCCAGCGACTGCTGCTAACATTTATAGTGACCAGAAGTATTTATTTCTAAATATATTTTTCCAAATGGATTAAAAAGCCCAAAAGTCTAGATGACTACAGAAATTGAGAAACTAAATAAATGCCTCTAAAATTTAAAGAAAAGCTCTGTATCAATCTTTGACAATAACTCTTGAGTTATTGAAAAGGAGTAACATAAAGCACAGGAGGGAAACACCAAATTAGAAGTGGAACCTGAAACACTCAGATCTCCAAGCTGTGAGCTCTGTGCTGTGAAACCAAACTCATGATATACAAAGAGTAACAGAATTGTCTAACAGATGCAAATTACAAACTTCTTTACCAAAATAAACAGCATGCTAGCTAAACACTTTAATTTTCGGTTACTTATATTACACAATCATTTCAGGACCATAACACTTTTAAAAAGTCAGAGTATGAGTGTATATGACTTTGTTCACTGCATTGTTAACACATAGTATTTTGTAATTACTTTTATAAAAACACACTTAGAAGTTAGTTCATTATTTACACTTGAGTACGATAAGCTACTGAAATGGACTGCACCAGTACTTCCCTACATAGAACCTATCAAAGTAATTACTTTGGTCAGGGATGTGGCTCAGTGGTAGAACACTTGCCTAATGCTTGTGAAGCTTTAAATTCAATCCCCGGTACTGCAAAACAAAACACAGCACAACACAGATTTAGATTTACATTCATATGGAAAGCATCAAAAGTACATAAGACTTAACCTAAAAGCAAGCAAACAAGCAAAAGCTAAGGGAAATTACCTGTAAATTCTATGGCTCAGTACTCAAGGACAACAGAGTTTGGAGAAAAAAGGAGCAGTATCACAATGTCAAAAACTATTTGTTTAAAGCTATGAAACAGATGAGATCAAGTTTTACTCCTCAAATTATGGGTTGAACCAAGTTTTTAAAACAACATAGAACTTTCAATGAATTATAATAGAAAAAAAAACTTCCAATTTTAACTAACAAAGTTCTTCTTTAGTGATGGCTAGATCTGAAAAAATACCTTGTGATAGAACTTTATTATGTGTTGTAACACTAGATAACCTCATCTTTCTTATTACTAAAGTCCTTCTTAGCCCTCTAATTATTCTGACTCTAAAAGTATCAGGAAAGTTTTTGGTTCTGCATGGATTTATTTATTGTGTCACTGCATGGCAGTTGACCCCTATAAGTACTCAGGAAGTTCAGGGCAAGAGAGTGGACAAGTTCAAGGCTAGCCTGGGCTACACAGTGAGTTCCAGGCCAACCTGGGTTAGAATTAGAAAAACTCAATCACAAATATGAAATTGACAACATTCATGCAACTGGGTGCAATTCATTTTTAATTTCCGATTAGCTTTATTTTTCCACAGGCTTCCTTTTTCAACACTAGGAAGTGAAACTTCAACCCAGTCCAAGCAAACATAAGCAAGCACTTATTACAGCTTCATTACCGCCAGGCATGGTGGTGCACACCTTTAGTCCCAGCACACATGAGGCAAAGGGAGACGATCACTGTGAGTTCCAGACCAGCCTGGTCTACACAGTGAGCTCCAAGACAGTCAGGGCCACATAGAAGGGACCTTGTCTCAAAAAATAAAACAAATTAATAAACAAAAGAGCCTTGTTACAAATTTATAGCATTCTTAGCAATCACACAATGCTGAAGTTCTAGTTTTAAATATAAAATCCTGAGTGTAGAGAAAAATGCTTTTGCCAACTGGGCAGCAGCAAATTAGAAACGTAGAAACCATTAACAACGAACATTAAGTCTTCTGCATGTCAGACTAACACAATAATAACAGGTCCAAAAGTAAATCAAAGGCTCCTATAATGAACTAGACTGCAAATATTCTCAAAGAATAAAATCCTGCTTGAATCATGATGTCTGCCTTTTCTAAACAAGAGTGGGCAACGGATTTAACATTTTGTTCTTCTAGCAATTTTCCAGACTCTGAAATCTGGGGAAACAAGAATCCCCAAATTAATGACAACAACAACTGGGCCTTTAGTAGGATGTAATGATCTCTTTTTTTTTTTTCTTCAAGAATTGACTGTTAGTAAACAACTTTAGACAGGATGCTGGGGTCATAACAGTGATGTAGTTTTTAAAACCAGGTAAAAGGGAGAAATAGGGGAATCCACAAACTATTCTTGATAATTCCAAGTCGTAGGCTGTGTATACACTTAAGACTACTGGACCCACAAACTAAAACACTTGTTTCTTTCCTTCTGGGTCAAATTATATCATTTTAGTGTGTCATTCATTGTTAGCTCTCTCATATTAACTGAAAGTTTTACCAGAACTTTAAAGTGTGACTAGCAAAAAGAGATAATAAGATTCCTTAAACATTTTATTGGGAATACAAAGACACTAACCACAGTGGGTCAGGGTGAGAAATTACTACAAAGGGTCCTAGGTTAAGAGGGCAGTAGGATGAAGAAGAACGGAGATGGAGTGTAAACAAAGATGAAAGAAAGGTTGAGAACCGCTGACTTTGATTATTTACGTCTGTGATTACTGGTGACTATTTTGGTGTGAAGGCTGTGTCTGCCAGTATCTTAAAACTCTGGTGGTTTCGAGAATGGAAATGACAGCTATCCTTTTCTCCTTCCTTCTTGAAGGCTAAGGACAGAGGTAAGTACGGCTGTTTCTCTGAGAAACAAAGATGCTTTCCACCATTCTCCTAAGATGGTGGAAGAGTCTCCTCAAGAGGCTTCCCCAAGGAAAATAAGACGAAAGAGGGAAAGAAAGCTACGGCAGAATTCCCTGGCTGTGCTTCAAGCCACATCCCCTGCGCACCCCCTCTGGTCCAGCCGGCTCCCTCCAGGGAGGTGAAGCCCTCCCTGGGCATTGTTTGACCCGGGTCCCTATTTACACCACGCAGATCGCCTCCACCATCCGTGCGCTGGGGTCTCGGGAAACCCGAGGCTGAAAGAGGAAACGCTAGGACGGGACGTGATCTCAGGGAGCTCTTCGGAAGCCCCTCTTCCTAACTGGGATAAGCAAAGAAGGAAGCCGGCCTCTGCTCGGGTGGGCTCCTCGGTGTTCAGGGGCGTCCCTTCAGCCGGTGTCGGAAGAAGGTGGCCATTTGAGCGTTTCGCTTCTCATCCAAAAGCCCTACCGGAGCGAGGGGCCTCTTCGGGGCCCGGGTTCCGCCAAGTGTCAGGTGCGGCCCGCGGCTCCCAGCCCTCGGGCACCGGCGGCCACCATGCACAGGCCGCCGGGGCAGAGACATCTCCCCGCCCCACCTCTGGGGACCGGGCAGCGGAGCCGGGGCCCCAGCCGCAACGTGCCCGCCCCCGCCCTACCTGAGGGGCCCGGGCGGGGTCGCTAAGGGCCGCTCCCGGGGGCCCCGCGACGGCGCGGCTCGGCGACGGAGGCGCCTCGTCTCGCCGGGGCAGAGCTCGGCGGCGGTTTCAGGGCCTCAAACTCCATCGGGAGCTACAGGGACAGCCCCGTTGGCGGCGGCGAAGGCCGCGGCGGGGCCTCCTCCTCCTCCCTCCCTCCGCCTCCTCCTCCTTCTCCTCCTCCTCCTCACCACGGAGGCGGACCTGGAGGGATCCCGACCTAGCTCTCGCGAGAAGATACTGTTCACTTCGCGCGAGATTACACAAGACCGGGAGTTGGGGTGGAAGGGATGCGTAGTGCCCCCCAACCCCCCTAAACTGCGCATCAGTTTCCCTCTGAAGAAGAGAGCCACCCCAGTCACATGACAGGGGAGCCCCAGAGTACTGTGGGAGATGCTGGAAGGACGAGGCGCGCCACAGAGACTTATGGGAAACTCCCTGCGCAACCATCCAAGGCTTGACCCAGGCTGCTTGTGTGGTTGAAGCAATGTTCGGCTTGTCTGTCGAGCAGAACCTGACACATGCATCTGTTACTTCCTACTGCGCTCTCCTGTGAGAAACTGACCAGACTAGCAAATAATCCAGTTTACAGAAACCAGGACAAAAGTGAAACGTTTACCTACCTCGTCTAAATCCCAAAGGCCTCAAAATGTACAAGTTTTGGCGTTTTGACATAGTATTTGTTAGAGGATTTATAGCAAACTATAAAGTGGGAATTATCCTGGGAATGAGGATGAGGGATTCTTATTAACTACTATATGCCAGGCTGCATGATATTTTATAAGTATTTTAGTTTTACTTATAATTCATTTACTTACCGAAGTAAAACTGAAAGATTCATAGTGTGTAACGTTTGTTAATGATGTACAACAGAAGAATAGAGGTTAACAGTCACGACTTGTAATCAGACTCACATTTTCCAATGTGAAATGAGATGCTCAACAACAACCAAAAAAAAAAAACTGCGATGGTAACTTGTACATAAACTAGAATATGGAAAAGTGACTTTGATAATGAGCATTTAAAGTACGTGATTTATAAGCCAGGTGAGATGGTGCAGGCCCGTGAACCTAGCAGTCGAAAGGCTGGGTCAGAATCAGACTGAGCTGCACAGCAACAATTCTCCCCAATATTTGTATACGCATACACCTTCCATAACCACAGCAGCTTACCACTACCTTCTGCAACTGCAGCTCCAGGAAGGAACTTAAGGCTTGACAAAACAAAAACAAAAAAAAACCCACCAGGATTTTTATGAAAGATTCATTGTCTCCACCAATCTTACTTCCACTTGTTATTCCTATTTTCATTCAATTATGTTAACCAAAAAAGAAAATTCCCTGTCAGGTGTACATTTCTGTATTTTCAACTGGACAGTGATGACAAATTCCTAACCCACTGTGTACTAATGCATATATGTGTGCATTTTCCACTCTGTTTCCATTAGATATACTCTTCCATTTCACAGAGAAAGAATAAATTCCCCAAATGTGGACAACCCTATTTAAAGTAACAATCCCATCTGCTTTTCCCTATCATTCTTTATTCCTGGCAGTTTGCCAAATTGATTTGAAACTCTTACATATTGTCTACTTCCACTAAAAGAAACCCCAAGACAGCTGGCATTCTTTGTTTACTAACTTTTAGTAAAGATACAAAGAAGCCCAGTAGGTATTTCTAAAGTGACAAAACAGCAGGAGGAACTGAGTTCTTGGTTAGGCAGGTTGCTCAGAGGTGAATGCAGCTCACAACTCCTGCAGCTCTGAGACCCCACACCCAGCGGCTCACACTCGACTGCCTGTAATTACAGCTCCAGGACAGGACCCGAAGCTTCCAGCAAGTGTATGCTCACACACTACACGCAATTAAAAATAACAAGTCACACATACAATTTTTAAAAATATTATTACCAAAAAGAAATTGAGTCCTTTAAAGTTCATAGAAACACACAAGCCCAAAGTTCTCCATTCCTACCTCCAGTTTATTACATTTTATGCAAACATAATTACATCCAGAGAGGAAAGGTTTCTCTGCAACAAAATAACTGCCTTTTCAAGATATTTTACATATATAAATGCAGTAAATAAGAGAATGAACCCAAACATATTTTCTGTCATACTATAAACAGCTAAAAGTAATTAAAATTAATAAATGTTACACCTTGTCATACCAGCATACTTTAACTAACAGATTCTACTTGGCTGAATTTTTCAGACATGTCATGCAAACAGATACTCTCCCAGGAATTTTTTGTTTACTTTTTTGTTTTTGTTTTATTTTCCTGAAACAAGGTCTCCTGTAGCTGAGGCTGGCCACAAACTTAGCTATGTAATGAAGGCTAGCCCCGAACTGGTTCTCTTGCCTCCACCTCCTAAATGCTGGGATCAGACAGGCTTGTGCACCTCATCCAGTCCCTAGGAATGTTGTGAGATCAATCTGTCCACTTAACAGAAATAAATAGTATAAATAACAACCACTTTATAAAACTAACCCCCCACAAGCAAAGGTTTCAAAGTGCTCACAAAAATTTTTCAACAATCTTACAAGGCACACCAAACTCAAACACCTTCAAAATGTCCCAACATCCAATATAGTAGATACCACTTCCTAAAGGAACCAGTTTTTCACTATAGTTTACCCTCTCCACCCATCCCTAGCCCTCCCCTCCAAAATTCACTCAAGAAGCAAAATTAAGAGAAGCACTTCAGTCACAAGTAAACAGTTTCTCACAGGGAAATACTTTCACAAGTATAATTGGCCATTCTTAAGTCATGTGGGAAAAGAAATTAGCCACTGAACTGGGCCATTCTCCAACGGAACAAAGGGTTCACCTTAGACAAGTGTCTCCAAGAGAGTACTCAATAGCAGTGTCCATAAAGACATCAGTGTCTCTTCTGTTCACATGAAGAATGTAGACTTGCAGAAATTTAAACCTAGAAACCATTCTACAAATCATGAAGCTATTTTATATAACATTAAGAAAAGTTGGAGAGGCGACCAGTTCAATGCCATTAATTAGTGACTTGGGTTATGAAGTCAATTGTGAGACCTAGATTCTTTAAAGTCTCTCCCAGAGTTAAAATGCTATGTAGAGCATTATTCCCACAAAAGTATACAAAATTGTATTTAACACTTACATGATTTCCACAAAAATCTTTTATAATACAAAGTATATTACATGTTAAACCATGAACTGTGAGTGTCAACTTAAATACAGTAGAAACTCTACATACAGCTGAGTTATATAGAGAAAGGGAACAGCTTGAATGTGAGTGCTCGTAGAGAGGGAGGAGTGAAGAGCAAAGGGGTCAGAGCATGCTGGGGAAACCCACAGAAACAGCTGACCTGAGCAAGTGGGAGCTCACTGACCCCAGACTGACAGCTGGGGAGCCAGCATAGGACTGAACCAGGCCTCCTGAACGTGGGTGTCAGTTAGGAGGCCTGGGCAGTCTATGGGGTGTCTGGCAGTGGAACCAGTATTTATCCCTAGTGCATGAATGGACTCTGGGAGCCCATTCCCTATGGAATGGATAGTCTCTCAACCCAGATACCACCCCCAAATGATCCGACAGACTTTGATGATCCCCCATGGGAGGCCTCACCCTGGGGAGTGGTGGGATGGGGGTTGTTGGGGGTCACAGGAAGATGAGAAGGAACTGGGATTGGTATGCAAAATAAGATTTTAATTTAAATAAAACTTTATTTAAAAAAAAGTGAAGCCAGGTGGTGGTGGTGCACGCCTTTAAAGAAAGTGAGTGCTTCCTACAGTCAGAGAAGGTGATTTGCCATGCAGCGAATTTTGCTCTTCATTGTAAGGGCATAAAAAACAAATTAGCTTTCTAAAACTATTCACCTGGTTACTGCTTTAAAAGAAAATGTACATATCTTCAAAACAGAGAAGGGACTGGGCTTAATCCCAGTGTTGAAGAAGTGAGGCAGATTCAAGGCCAGCCTGGCTATACAAGTCAAAAGTAAGACAACACATTATAGAAAGTGATTTGTTAACAAACACATAAATGAAGCTCGGAGGCATTCTGTTGGGTAAAAATAAAAATATCAAATAGGAACATACTAGAAGATTCCAGTTTTCTATCCTCCCAGATTTGAACAAATTATAGAGATGAACTCTTACTAGAAATTAGAGTTGGAAGGGTGGATGACAAAGGAGCAGCTTCTAGAAGGTGGTGGAACTGCGCTGTATCCCAACTACAGAAAATTATCATATGTGTTAAATTCACAGAAATACAACTTCTCAGAGGAAGATCAATTTTAGTGCATGTTAACAAAAACAAAGCAAAACAAAAAACCCTAAGTAAACAGTAGAACTGGTATCATCAATAAAATTGTAATATTTAAGAAAAATAACCTTTTCTAATTTAAGCCAACAAAATACTTGCATTAGCCATAGAACTCTTAATCCAACTAGAAATAGGGCCTAATTACATATTCACTTTGATATTTAAATAATGCAATTCTAAGGATACTTTGCTGGTCCCATGTGAATCTAAATTGTGCTCCTTTAGTTTAAAACAATAACCTGGTATTCTAGCTATAATCCAAACACAATGGTTAAACATTAAAAAGAAAATTGTTTGTCCTATCTATTGTCAAAATTAATAGTGGACAACACTATGCTTTAAAATCTATTTTCTTGTCATTCAAACTCATTAAAGTTACTATACAGTTAGACCCTACATTAGATCTCTAATATAAAAACTATAAATCAGAATCAGCAATTACTGCCGAACAGAGGACTAATACCTAATGTTTGAGACAATGTAGAATCCCATAAACTTAGCCACTCCACGCACAACTTTGAAATTAGAGTGAATTAACACATAGGAAGAATAAAAATGAAAGCTAAAGATTGGGGGGGGGCACACTACCAATGATACATTTTAAAAACACACATGCCTAACAGAGTAATCCTATGCTTATGTCGAAAGTTCATGATTTGATTACAGTAGATTCTGCCTTTTGAGATCAGGCCTAGATAGTTTTTCTCCACTGCTTCTGCCATGAACAGAGGTTAAGTGCTTTTTGAGAGCAGATTTGTGTTTGAAATCCATATCACAACAATGGCATTTATATGGCCGGTCCCCACTGTGGATGTTCAAGTGGTCCTGAAGTGTGCTTTTAGCAGTAAAGGTCTTCAAGCACACGGTGCACTGAAAGGGTCGTATACCCATGTGTCCTCGAATATGCCGGTTGAGATTTTTCTTCTGTGTGAATGTTTTCCCACACTGCAAGCACAAGAAGAGTTTATGCATCTTAAGGTGTCTCAGATAGTTTTCTACATGAAGAAAGCCCCTGGGACACCTGGGGCACTGGTGCCTCAGTGAGAAATTCTCACCCAGATTCTGGATCTCATTTACTGTACCATGGCTTCCATCGGTATTGTCACAAAACAACCCTTGATCTTCATTTCCAGGGACTTCTGCCACTCTGCTCTCAACTGTAGAATTGATCAGTGAATGCTGTGTTTCAGGGAAATATATGCCCGCTTTTGAGGAGGTACAAGGCTGTGAAAACTGCCCATTATCTACACCATCTGTACTGATGGATTCTACATGGAGGATACAAATTTCATTCTCTTTAAAACCACTATCCACTGTTGAGAGCTCTGGTGACGTCATTCCCCCTCGCTCTGATGTCAGCCTCTCCACGGCAGACTGCATGGCTGTGCTTTCCTCTTCTTTAACATGGAAATCTAGGTTTACAGGACTATCTTCTGAAATTTCAATGATCTCACAGTCTTTATCAGAATTTTCTTCTTCATTCTTAACATCTGTATCAGAAGACTGACACAAGTCAGTGTGTTGGTTGTTTTTCATGGAAAGATCAATTTCCAGATACTTGGACAAAGCTTCTGTGCATTTTTCTACAATGTGAACCATCTGAAGGTAACTGGCAGCAGTCAAGTATTTCAAAAGCTCTTTCCTTTTCACTTCAAGTGCTCCTGTGTAGCAGGACAGCAACAACTTTCTTCCAACTTCTGCACTCTGCAGAATGGTGATTCTGACGTGTTTTGACTGTGTGAGTAAAAACTGATCTCTCATGAAAGTAGAGCAAGCAGCCAAAATCACCTTGTGCCCCTGGAACTCAGTATCATTAATATAGATTGATACATCACAAAACAAATTCTGCTGTCTCAAGAGATTCATTTTCTGTAAGACCACATCTCCTTGCTGTTCAAACTGGAAGTGTAGAACATCAGACTCAGCAGCCATGGTCACGATCTATGCAAAACAGAGCACAAGCATGATACAGGATAGGCAATGCTTTCCCAGGGTATTATGGTAAAGAGGCCCCCACTTCCTAACGTGTACTGGGAAAAATGAAGACCCAAATTATACTTTGAGAAGTAGTAGTTTATCTATCCCCAAATCACCAGAAAGTCATAATGCGTTTCTGTATCATCTCATAGTACATAACTTTTAAGTACCAGTAACAGGCACAGTGACACAAAAAAGTCCACTTAGTATCTTAAATTAGAAACTGTAGCCTATCACCTAGTCGTGCCTTCACCATTGGAATGACTTTCAACAGGTCTCCTGACAAAGCACTCTCCAAATATCCTGAACTACCATCCTGAATTCCCAACGTAATTAACATTTTGGTTAAAAAAGGAGGGAGAGAGAGAGAAAAAAATAAAACTCTTATGCTTTAAGTCCATCACCTCCCCTACTTCCTGGACAGCCTTCTGCTCTCGCAGAGAACGCCAACTCCTTCAGGGTTTCGCCTACCCGACCTTTTACAGACCGCTCTTGGCTCGTGTTTCTTATGCTCACCATCGTACCCATGCGGACACCAACTTTACGATCTCTTCTGTTCCCGCTGCGGGAGGGGCTGGCGGGGGCCCGCGCCTGCTGGCCTGCCAACCTTCTCCGCACGCGCTTCCCCGGATGTCAGGGCCGGGCGGTGCGGCGCCGGGCTGGGGCCGAGCCCCGCGCCGCCGCCCTGCAGCCTCAGCCCGGGATGTCCCCTCACTTTCACTTACCGACTCACACAGCTGGCTTTGAGGCTTCCGCGACAACGGCGGGCGGCCAGGGCCGGAAGATGGACCTCAGCCGGGAGGAAACGCTTCCGGTGTCAACCAGCTTTATTCTTTTCCGACCGTCTGGACGCCCCGGAAGGACATCCTGAACTGCTCTTTCTGCCTCACTTTGTCCGATCCTGGAATGACAGGGAAACGTCAGAATGCCGGCGAGCCGCGTCTTTCCTGGCGTTCCGCCTCGCCCGGCTGTGAAGCTAGCTAGAGCGAGGGAAGGGCGCTCGAGAGCCGAGCCTCCGACGGGGCGGGGCGGGGCGGCTGTGGGGGCGCGGCCCTGTCCCCGCTCCTCCGCCCTGCTGTGGACCGCCTGGCCCGGGGCCGAGACTGCGCCTGCTCGGAAAGGGTCCTTCTCTTCCCTTGGGTGATGGCAGTTGAACACTGGGCCTTGCGAACGCACAATACTGCTTTCCTTGCCAGTTACCCTGCAAAACTGGTTAATACTGATTACAGATGACCTCCGAGCTGCTGCTCAATAGGTTGCGCCCCAGTTGGGAATAATTTATCTTCAAAACTGAAGCCACACATCAAAACACATGCCACATCAAGGGAGGGGGCTTATTTAGGATAAGATGTACCTATCTTTGCATTCGCAGAATCTAGTATTCACAAAGTTCCCATTTAAGGAGTAACTTTTTTTTTCTTGGTGCCCCTGTTGCCAGGAACAAAGCATGGCTACTGGAATGCTAGGTAAGCACTCTACCAGTGAGTCACACACCAGTCCTGAACCTGGGTCCTTTATTCTCAGCAGCTTCATAAAGAAATAAATGGTTCTACTAATAACATACTTTTTTCAGAGGGCAATCTCAAAATTTCCTCCAGAGTCATTACATGCTGGAGAAATGAGCTGCATTTTCAGCTCCTCACCATCCTTAAGATGTGTTTTAAATAATAACATTCTTGAATTTAAATCCAAGCAACCGAGAAAGGAGGGAAGAATAAGAAAATAAGTCAATGACACCACCGTTTAATTGTCACACTTTTATTAAGGAAACTTCCCCATTTTAAGTAAAGAGGTAGTTCAAAGTATGTCTAACATACAACAGATTTAGAACAGCCATTCATGAGCTGAAATAAAATGTTCTAAGTTGTTTAGGACAGTATTTTAAATTTAGTGACACTAGTCACCTTTCACATATCTTCTAAAGCAAAACTACACCTGCTTTACCTCATAGCCACTTGTTTGGAGCTTGTTTTAATATTGAATAATAAATAACAGTAATTTTTAAAAGACCAAACTACAGTAAAGAGAATCCTTTTCCTTTTGAAGTTTTCCTAGGAATACACACAAAACAAATACTGAGTCTGGTGTGGTGACACAATCCCAGCACTCAGGAGGCTGAGGCAGCAAAGGGTAGTGAGATCCCGCCTCAAAAAAACAAAAAAACAAAACAAAAAAAACCCCAAATGTTGAGTAACTAAGGTTTACACCCTGACTAGTGTTAAACACACACACACTTCCACTATAAATTGATGTCTTTGCAATAAAATCTGAGAAAAGAACCCAAGTACCACCAAACTTACATGTCTCACAGAACAATTTTCCAGACAAGAAATGAAGGAGACCATAAATTAGGTAAGTAAAAAGTAAAAATTTTAGTAACAGAAAACCCTAAGAAAGCTGCCATTAAGTAAGTGGTTCTCACCCTTCCTAATACTGAGGTCCTTTGATATAGTTCCTCGTAATGTAAACATCTTTGTTTTCTAGGGGTCTTGGTGATACCTGTGAAAGGGTTGTTCAACCCACCCACCACAGGATTGGGACCCATGGGTTGAGAACCACTGTTTTATGTGATCAAAAGAAAACAAGGCAACCATTCTTAGTTATAAAGTAAATTGGTGACCTTGTCTCACCAAAATCACTTGACACTGTAAGTCCTATAACAACAGGGATCATATCTAGTTTACCTTCCTAGCCTCAGAATCTAACATAGTACCTGGAAATACCAATTGCCCATCGGTAGAAAACATGCTCAACATGCTTGAGGCCTTGGGTTCAAACTCCCCAGCATTTAAAAAAGAAAAAGAAGAAGAAGAAAAAAAGGCCTTTGAGTGACTGAAATAAATCAATATATCACCTCCAACAAGAGAGATCAGTATCATTTGAAGCCTTGCTGTTTTTAGTCTTCAGACAAACAGAAACCAGATAAGAATAGTAACACTTGTGGAGTCACATTGAAATGTTCCTATGAAAAAAAATTCAGAGAAATTATTCGAAACATTGGATAACATGGTAGATCCCATTGTGTTTGGATGAATTGTTAAAATTCGGAGTGCTAGAAAGCATTAATAAACCATACAATGAGTATGTATTCTTACTTAAATAAATAGTTAGTAGAAATTATGCCTCAAATCAGAGCCATGTGTAAATATATCAAATTACAGCAAATTCAGACCTCTTGTCATCTACAAATATTAAGTTTAATTTTTGGAATTATCTGTGTATGTACTCTCAGAGCTCTAAAATAAAAACAAAAATTTGATAGAAATAAAGTTTCCTATTTCACATTTGGATCTACCTCGCATTATTCTAACTTGCCCTTTCCCTCATAACCCATATTCACACTTAGAAATAATATAATGTTAATATACCTAAAAAAAACATGACCCAGACTAGGGTTGTACCTCAGTGTAGGTTCAGTGCTTGTCTAGCACGTGTGAGACACTGGGCTTGGCTCCCAGCACCACTACAATAATTATATTTATTTAGGTCTTAGTTCAGGCTGGTCTCTAACTTATAGCACCCCTCCTGCTTCAACTTCATAAATTCCAAGATTACAAGCACAAGCCACCAATATAATCAAGTTTAAACAGGTAATTACCACAAATCCTGTGACATTTTCTTGACAAATCCTAAGCTGTCTCTAAAAGCCAAAAGGGATACAAATTAGTGAAACAAAACTGGAAACTTTCTGTTAATGTATTATTATTCACCATCTTTAAATCCAAGATCTAGTAAGACAGACATATGAGGGCTGTCATTTATATTTAGTCAGGTGTATTTTGGCCAATGGTGGCCGGGATACCTGCTTGATTGTGAATGCTCCAATTTAAAATGACAGAGACAGTGTAAACAATCTTTCAAGAGTTTCTAAGTTCTCTAGCAATCCTACACCTTACTGTGACCACAGGGTCAAAAACAAGCTCAAAATTATGTCTGAAATGTACTTTAGAATAAAGAATTGTTTTCTTTCCACCCTTGAAGATCAACTATGAAAGGTGGCAAAGTGAGCAGTGTATTGTGTACCTCTAAAACGATCTAAATCCAAAACTTCTGTATCCCACTCAATTTCTCTTTCATGTTTTCAAGATGAAGGTACATTGAGAAAAGGAAAACTGGGAGACACTATAAACGGCACAAAAGTGATGGCCAAACTCACCTTTCTTATGTAATAACTCTGATACAAAGTTCAGACCCCAGGATAGTCCATTCCGATAGAGACCATTCATTATTCCTTAGCTCACTTAAATATACACAAAGCACTTCCAATTACAAAAGCATCAACACCGTACATAGGTAAGCAACTGGCCTCTTGGGACATGTTTAGGAAACCTTCCATGTGCCCACTGTTATTTTATTACACTTCTGTTATTTCCTGGTTATGCTCCCCATGGTGGACCCTATTTGCCTGCAGCTGTTACTGAAAGGGTTATATTCTGGGTTATAAGAACAATTCAATGGGCTGTGTTACTGTTTAAAGTACAAACCAACATACTTCTTCATAGCAGCTCTAAAAAAGGACAAACGGTAAGAAGCAGACTCACTGATCATCAGTATTAGATGAATCACAGTAGACAAACAGAGGCTCTGTCACATATTTAGGTCAACAGCAGTATCACTTCATATCCCAGCCTCATTTTCCCCCCAAAGAAAAACACGAACTTTTTCTAAGCCCAGCATCTATTAGTTGGAAGTAGGTGATGTTATTTGTTAGTACCTTCAGAATGTGCTTGGTAAAAAGACTAAAATTGTGTCAGTCTAAGACATGTATTGACACTAGGTAGACAATGGAATTATTCTTTAGGAAAGGAAAACAGATTATCACAGGATAAATAACTCAAAAAAGAGCCAAGAGAGGGCTAAGGGAAAGCAAGGCCACTGCACGTGGGATTGCTGGTCTGCTGGTGCTCACCCACAACCAACTGCTCAGAGGCTTTGGAGAGGAAACTATCAAGACCGCTCCTAAAAAGACTCAGCACTGCTGTCAGTCAGTCAATTCTAGCTGTAAGCACTAGGCCCCTCCTCAGTTTACACATGTACTCTCAGTCCTTAAGCTGAGCACAGCTTGGGTCAGTTTACCTGCATCCAGGACCTGTGTTGCATCAGGCTGTGGCTGACAACCTTTAGAGTCTGTGACTGTTGTACATGCAAAAGAGTCAAAATCCACTGTGAGGTCTTGCACACTCCTCTCATTGGCATTATCAAAGCTGTTTTTGCCATGCAGCTGTTTAAGGTGTTTCCTCAAAACTGGCTTATGTGCAAAAACCATGTCACAATAGTTACACTTATGGGGCTTATCTCCACTGTGAAGGTTAAGATGGTCCTGTAAGGAACACTTCTGAGAAAAGGTTTTCCCACAGATTTTACACTGGAAAGGTTTAATTCCGGCATGTACACGCATGTGTCGATGAAGATTGCCTTTCTGAGTGAAAGTCTTGCCGCAGAGTAGACACATAAAGAGTTTGTGCATTTTTAAATGGTTGGCGTAGTTCTCCAGGTGACGGAACACCCTGGTACACTTTGGGCATTGGTGATGCCACTGTAAGCTTTTGTCTACACCTCGAATATTAGGCCCAAAGACATCTTTTGAGGTCATGATGATGTCATCACTGCCTGTGTAAGAGAGGGCGTAATTGTGGAGATGGCTCTGGTCTAGTTCACTCACTCTGTTTTCCACAGTCGAGTTTATCAGGGAGTGCTGGGGCTCTGATGAATGCAAAGCAGTGGGTTCAGAAGAAATGTACTGGTTCTGATCTTTTTTACTTCTAACCTCTGAGACATCCCCAATAGATTCTACCTTAACAATCTGAATATCACTGTCCTCCATATCCATACTGTCTTCAGATGGATGAATACAAGGCAAGTCCTGTTTTGGAGAGCCTCTGGCATCTCCCTGCTGTTCTTTCGACTGGGGAGAAGCACTCTGTGGTTCACATCCCTCTTTACTATCCATTGGTTGTTTTGGCTTTATAAACTTCCACAGCGCCTGTGTGCACCGCTCTACAATGTGGCTCATCTGAAGAAAACTCGCAGCAGTCAAGTAATTTACCAGTTCCATCTCAGGGAATTCCAGCACACCACTATAACAGGATAAGAGCAATTGTCTCCCCACTTCAGAACTCTGTAATATGGAGATTTTCACCTCTCCGGAATCATTCAGTAAAAACTGGTCTCTTAAGAAGGGGGAACCTGCAGCAAAAACAATTTTATGTCCCTGCACCTCAACATCATCTATGAGAACAGTAACATCACAAAATTTATTCTCTTCTCTTAATTTGTTCATTTTTTGTAACATTGAATCTCCATAATTTTCAAACTTGAAGTGAAGGAGATCTGATCTTTCAGACATTTTGGCAGACCTAAAGAACAGAAATGTAAAAAAGGTAGGATTTAAGAAAATTTAAACAATTTAGAAACCTGGATTTAACTTTCAAAACCAAATGTGTGGTCATATGTTTTGTATGTATCCAAAAGCCTATAATAACAGCTTCAAAAGGCCATTAAAAATGATTCCTTACCAATATCAGGTGCCAACTGTACCCACAGAGTAGACATATAGCAGTGTAAATAACTGGGCACTCACCCAACTTTTAAGAGACTTAACACAAACAATGCTCAAATTAGTCCAAGAAGTTTATTTTTCACTTCTCAAATGAGAATTCTATTGGTTCAAAAGAAAAAAATCACAACCCAAGTAAACAATGAAGACATTCTTTTCTTTCCTTTTTTTTTTTTAAGTTTTATTAAGTATACAGCCTTCTGCCTGTTATGTGCCCTGCATGCCAGCAAAGGGCACCAGATCTCACTCAAGGTGGTAGTGAGCCACCATGTGGTTGCTGGGAATTGAACTCAGGACCTCTGGAAGAGCAGTCAGTGCTCTTATCCTCTGAGCCATCTCTCCAGCCCCTAGCACTATTTTCTTTTGCATAAAAGATGTACCTGCTTTTTCCCCAAATCAAAATGCTATTTTCTTTCACTTCCTATTTTTATTGTTTTGCCTGTATGCATACATATGTGCCACATAAGTGCCTGATCCCCAGAGGCCAGAAGAGGGTGCTAGTTTTCCCAGAACAGGAGTTGCCAATGGTTGTGAGCTGCCATGTGGATGCTGGGAATCAAACTGGGAGTCCTCTGAAATAGCAGAGTGCTCTTACCCACTAAGCTATCTCCCCAAACCCTTTATTTTAGTGTCTACAGGGAACCCCCTCCCCGTTTTGGTTTAAATTGGTATGAATTTATTCATGTAAGTATTTCTGTGATGAAAGTCACAGACTTAAGGAGATGGTGTTTGGTCACTGGCAAAGGCAGTTCTTTATCCTATACATTATGGACAAATCTAAACTCTCTTGTAAGGAACATTTCTTTATATGGAGAATAAAACACTATCAGATGAACCAATCAGTGGGATGTGAGTGGGAATAGGTGCAGATTTATTACTTATTAGATTTTTTTTTCTTCTTACCCAGATGTGCCCATCATTTCTTATGTGGACTACTAGAAGTAATTCCTAAATGTTTACCTTGGATTCCAACTCCTCTGAAACTCAGCTTACATAGCACATTTCAAAAATGCTAGATTATATCTAACATATCTAAATTGCTTCAGTAACTTTCCAATGTCTCTTGGATGAAGGCTAGTCTCTTGGCTATAAGTCAATTAAATAAAATTAATAAAGGTAAATAATGGTATAATACACTCAACTACAGAGGTTTCTTTGCCAAAAGTCTACTCATGGGGTTGAGAATATCTATATCTCAGGAGTAGATAATCTTCCTAGTCATTATGTGAAGCTAGGTTCAATCCACAATACTGTTAATAAGTAAATGAAACTAATTGTTCTGTTTCTGTGACAAATTTTTTTTGGGGGAAAGTCTTCATGTTCTTCTTTTTTTTTTTTTAAAGATTTATTTATTATGCATACAGTGTTCTGGCATGCAGACCAGAAGAGGGTAGCAAATCTGATTACAGATGGTTGTGAGCCACCATGTGGTTGCTGGGAATTGAACTCAGGACCTCTGGAAGAGCAGCCAGTGCTCTTAACCACTGAGCCATCTCTCCAGCCCATTAAAGAAACTTTTTTTTTTTTTTTTTTGGTTTTACGAGACAGGGCTTCTCTGTATCGTTTTGGAGGCTGTCCTGGAACTGGCTCTGTAGACCAGGCTGGCCTCGAACTCACAGAGATCCGCCTGCCTCTGCCTCCCGAGTGCTGGGATTAAAGGCATGTGCCACCAACGCCCGGCTCCTGGTTTTCTCTTAACTTGACTTCTCATATGTGTCTTTCTAAAAGGGAAGGATGGATTAGCCACACCAACAACATAATCCCAGTCTACTAATCACTAAAAATAGCCTGTATTCTCTTTTAAGAAACTAGTCTTTCTGGACCAACAGCACAGGAACCTGTATAGGAACAAACTAGCCCCTCTGAATGTGGGTGACAGTAGTGTGGCTTGGGCAGTCTGTGGGGCCACTGGCAGTGGGACCAGGATTTATCCCTAGTGCTTGAACTGTTTTTTTTTTTTTTTTTTGAGCCCATTCTCTTTGGAGGGATACCTGGCTCAGTCTAAACATAGGGGGGAGGACCTTGGTCCTGCGTCAAAGGTGTCAGAGTTCATTGACTCTGCATGGGAAGACTTATCCTCTCTGGAGAGTGGATGAGGAGTGGGGGGGCGGTAGGTGAGGTGAGCAGGAGGAAGGGAGGGAGTGGGAACTGGGATTGGTATGTAAAATGAGAAAAGATTGTTTTAAAATAATACATTTTTAAAAAAAATAAACTAACCTTCTATCAGGTTAATAGGTATGCCAGTTCTATCTTTGAGAAACAGCTCTATAATCCCAGTGTGTTAGGAAATCCTGCTTGGATTTTGTGTACTCAACAGTCCCTTACGTCACAGTAAAGCAAGATGACCAGCTTTTCTGCGATACATCACGATTTTGTTTTTTGAGGGTTTGTTTTAGTTTTTTGAGACAATGTCTCTCTATGTAGTCCCAGCTGTCCTGGAACTCTCTTTACAGATCAGGCTGGCCTCAAACTCACAGAGATCCGCCTGCGTCTGCCTCCTGAGTGCTGGGATTAAAGGCGTGCAGCACTACGCCAGGCATCACATCTAAATTCTATAGCCCAAAGTTCATAATCTTAATTTTTCAAAAACTATCAGCTTCTGAAGACAGTGTCCAGCTGCCATGCCTCAGTGCTTACCCTAAGCTTGTCATGGTGTGCACTCGTCTATAACACCACATTCTAGCCAGTCTGCTCTCTTTCCTGAGAGGCCGCTGTCCAACCTCTTAGAGCAAGAGTTGCCTCTAGGGCCCTCAGCACAGAACTTGTCCAGCACACTAACAACGCTCCACCAGATAACTCCTTCCGGTCCGGACGACACAGGCCCTGGCATTAGACAGCAACATGCACATCTGACTTCAGGGACTGAAGCCGGACAGTCTGCTTTTACCTCATCTTCTCACCTCAGCCCCTGCTTCTCCCACTGTTGACCAGACTCTCCTCTGTTCAAACTGGCAGGCACACACGACTGTCGCCTCACACCACACCAAACACACAGGAAGGCTCAGTATGCAGCAGTTGAACCTACGGGATGAGTCTCACAATAAAAAGAATTTTGTTAAGCAGACCAGATTAATAACTATGGAAGCATTATGTGACTGAGGCCACAAGGGCCTAGGAAGGAATGCAAATGGTAATAAGAAACAAGTGGAAAAAAAAGTATTTCAAAGAACTCAACAACTGAGGAGGCCTCGGCATTCTTCAGGGCCTCGGGCACTAGATCAGTATTTATCCCTGGCATCTGAATGGACTTTGGTAGCTCACTCCACATGGAGGGATGCTCTCTCAGCCTGGACACATGGGGGAGGGCCTAGGCCCTGCCCAGGTTGAAATGACTGACCTGGAGATCCCCCATGAAGGGTCACATCCCCTCCTGGAGAGTGGAGTGGGGATTCAGTGGGGGGTTGGAGGGCAGAGGAGGGAGAGGGAGCTGGGATTGCAAGCTTGTTTCCAATTTATATAAAAAATTTTTGAATGAAAAAAAAAACTTGGCAACTGGTAGAAGGAGGGAGGGAGAGAGGGAGGGAGGGAGGGAGGGAGGGAGGGAGGGAGGGAGGACAAAAAACTTGGCCTGAGAGCACAAACCTAAACACACAGTGCTCAGAAGCTGGGGTAGGTAGTAGGTAGGCAAGAGGCAGGCTAGCCTGAGATACATAGTGAGAGCCTAGCTCAAAAAAAATTCTAAACTGCAGCAGACTTTAGCTGCATGTCACAGAAGGAGGTAACATTCAGGAGAGTGTGGCACATATATGTTAATAATCACAAACTGTGTAAGGTTTTCTCCTATATGGCATTCTGACTGTGGGAATAATAAATATTCTCAATAAGGATTAGGAATTGTCCTGGGAGAAGAGAAATGCAGAGAAGGGAATGTGGTAGAGAAATCAATGAGTTTCAAACAAGGGAAAATCTAGAAAACATAGGGAATATTATCAGTATTTTGAAGCAGCCAAACTCTATTATCACTGGTCAGTTTTAGTAGCAGTAGCTTAAAAACATTCATTCTGTAACTGGAACAGTGAATGCTCCATTTAACCCAAAGTTATAAAAATGATCGCTGTTTCAGTGGCCAAACAAAAGTGGCATTCTCTTTTTGGAGTTGAGCCGATCTTGAATTCACTAAAGCTCAGCAGTGTTTTCCTAGTCATAGGAAAAAATGAACATTCATTGTTTCCAACTAGAGTATGAGAGTACTCAGAATGTTTTAAGGCAAGTGTCTTTGGGAAAACTTGTTCCCTGTTTCTTTACAGAGGAGCCGGAGCTCAATTTCATTTATATGGTTCATGAGTTCTCAAACTTATCAACAAGAACAGTGAAACAGGTGTCTTAAAAGAAGATGAGGAAGAGGAAGAGGAGGAGGAGGAAGAAGAAGAAGGAGGAGGAGGAGGAGGAGGAGGAGGAGGAGGAGGAGGAGGAGGAGGAGGAGGAGGCCCGGCTTTGATCTTCCTGCTGCAGTTCAAGAAAGTTTACTTTAAGAAGTTTTTCCTAGTATCTATCTGTCCAATTATCCCTTTAATAATCTATTCCTGGGTCACACACTTTAGCCGTTAGTTATTCCCTGTCACTAGTCTCCTTTGCCAATAGGTCATTAGTTAATTGAGGACAAGGATCAACTGTTTATTACACTTTACACAATACATTAAACAAAACACAGCATTGGAGTGATACTTGCCATGAAATTATTATTGACCTACAATAGAGATGACTTTCTTTTTCTTATTCTCTTTTTGGTTTTTTGAGACAGGATCTTTCTGTAGCTTTGGAGCCTGTCCTGTAACTAGCTCTGTAGACCAGGCTGGAGATTATTTTCAATATCGTAATATCTTTTTTTTTTGAGGACCTGGAGAACTCTTTAGGTCATGTAGAACCAAATTTGCAATACCTTTTTTTAAATAGAAAAACAATCTTTTAAATAAATGCATAGTAGTAGAACATGTACTTAGTATATATGGAATCCTAGGTTTAATCCCCCACCACATGTACATGTATAAGTAGATAATATAAAAGTAAATGTGTGTACACACACACCCAAACAGGTAAAATAAAAATATAATAATCAGTGGGAGTGGGAGTGGGCATTGGGGGTGGCACACACCTTTAATCCTAGAACTCAGGAGGTAGAGATACGTGGATCTTTGTGAATTTAAGGCCAGCCTGGTCTACAAAGTGAGTTCTAGGACAGCAAAAACTGTTTGGAGATATATAACTTATATATATCTCCACTCAATTAACAGGATTAATTCCTTTTACAAAATGATACCTAATGCCTTCTGAATTCAAGTCACATCCCCAAAAAATTTTAAAGCAAACAACCCCCAAACCAATGATCTTGCTCATTAAGGTAGATAACAAGAGAAAAATTATCAAAATAAAGCTAAATATTTCGGTTCAAGTGACTGGGTATCTTTGAGTGTCATTTAGTCATCTAGAGAATACTAAAGGGTGACCCTAAGGCTGCAGAGAGAGCCTTTGTGGCACCAAGGGAAAATCTAGTAGCTGGTTAGAAACAGGCCTGAAGCTGTAGAAGAAACCTCAGTATAGTGTTGGAGAGATGGCTCAGAGGTTAAGAGCACTGGCTGCTCTTCCAGAAGTCCTGAGTCCAATTCCCAGCAACCACATGGTGGTTCACAACCATCTATATGAGATCTGGTGCTCTCTCTGGCATACAGACATACATGTAGGCAATACACTGTATACATAACTAACAAATAAAATCTTTAAAAAAAGAAAAAGAAATCTCAGTGTAAACCATAGGTAATTTGTAAATGAAACATTACATTGGAGTAGAAGAAATATACTTAGAATGGAAGAGGATCCTAGGACAAAAGAAAAAGCTTACGCAAAATAAACTTACCTCTTTCAACCATGCTATTCTTGTAGGGCTCTCTTTTTTAATCAATAAGTCTATTTTTCCTTACAATGTTCCCACTCCTTGACTCCTATATAGTCACCACATAGCACAAAAAGTAAAGCATGGACTCTGGAATTCAATATCCAAGGTTAAAATTCTGCTCAGCCATTTACTAGCTATATGGCCATGGGTGAATTCCTTATCCAGTCCGATTCAGCTTTCTTGTCAACCAAAAATAAATCACAAGATTGCTAGGGAAATTAGATAAGCTCATTATTAAAGAATATTTAATTACTTAATATCATGAATGTCCTGCCTACATGTATGCGCACAACTTGCATGGTATCTGTGGAGGTCAGAAAAAAGGTATCAGATTCCCTGGAACTGTAGTTCAGTCCTGAGAAATGAACCAATATCTCCAGCCTAGTAGTTCATTTTCAAAACAGCTTAGAATGGTGTCTGTTATGCTCTTTAAATGTGTTAAGTAAATAAACAAGGTCTGTCAATCTTTTTGTGAAATCCTTCATGTTTTCCCCATTTAATGTCAAACCAACTAAGGCCTCTGATATTTTATATTGCATTACCTTATCTACTAAATTTGTTTTTTTACCAGGTCACTGATGCCCTGCTAATAAAAAATAAAGATACTTCCTTTTTTTCTTTCTCATTCCCCAGTAGCTGAGCATGATCTAATGGACTCTCTTTAAAAAATTCTTTCCTGATATCTGGGTCACCATAGTTGTGTTCATCTTGTATTCTTGGCTTTATTTTCTACCTCTCTTACTGTGGACTCTTAATTTGCTTTTCTGTTTCATTAATGAAACCATCATCCTTCAAATCATAGTTTTTAGTACTCCCTCCTTGATGCCAACTCTTCTCACGCTGCCTGCCCACATGCCAAAATTCAAATGGTTTACATTTTAGATATGAATTCAACATAGATAAAGGCTGAATTTGTATTTACCACAGGCCTTATGGTTTTATTTCTGATTATGGCATCACTATTTTCAAATGTCAACTGCCTATGACTTAGGTTATTTTCTTCTTCAATCTACGGGACATTAGCACCTTCCTTTCTTGTAACAATACCGTAACACTACTTTAGATTTTATTGCATCTCACCAGGATGGTCTCAATACTTTTTCAAAATAATCTGCAATCGAAGTGCCTACATTTTAGCTAAGAGAGCCCAGATTCAGCGATGTTCTATCGGCTTTCTGCAGTACAACTCTGACCATATCAGTTTCCTGCCGAGAGAGCTTCAAAAAGATAACCCATCTCCTTTAGGATTAATTAAACTTTTCACAATCTGGACTTCATTTTACTTATTCACTTCAGAATGCTCACGACCACCCCCACCCCTATTCCTTCTTCACGCACACACAGGTCTGTTACTTCTCGGTAGCACTACAACTTTTCCTTTTGCTGGAAAGGTACTTCCACGAAGTAGAACGTAGAGGCCACTCTTTGTACAGGTTTCCCAGCAACCGTCCCTGGAGCAGCTGATGTAGTAATCGATTGCGTACCCCGACCCCGATACGAGCATCAGTTTATTCACACACTGCTTCCGAACTCGACCGTGAAGACTAGGTATGTGATGAGCCTTCGGGTGCTTGGCATAGTGCCGGTAATACAAAAGGTGCTGCAGCCGGCGACTGAGCAGGGGTAAAACCCATCAAAACCTGACACTTACAGCAGTCTCGAGGTCGGCACTGAAGGCCTTGCCTTGGCTAGCGCCCGCCGTTCAGTTTTCTGTCGGCCTCAACTCCAGCACTTTTGACAAAATGCCAGAGTCTGGCGTCCTGGCCAGCCACAGGGTCCTAGGTAGACGCTCCCAGGAGGCGGTCCCCGGGGCATCCTGAGACTCCCCACGGCAGGCTGGTAAGGGGAAGAGGGTGGGGTGCAGCATGGGCCGGTCCAATGGCTCGAGTCCCCCGGGGCCTAGACTAGCTCCTCGGCTCCCATCCCGGGGCGGGTCGTAGCCGATCCAGATCCCCACGGGGGCTCCATTTCCAGAGACCCCGTCCCCGAGCCCGGCTCTCCGGTCACCTCCTAACTCACAGACCCGAGGGGGAAGGCCGCCATCTGGATCTGGCACCGCCAGGAGCTGCGGCCCCTCGGGGCTCCGGGAAGGGGGAGGGGCAGGCAACCTGAGCCAAAGGGGGGGACCCAACGGAACCGGAAGGGCAGCCCTGGCCGGACAAAGACAACTTCCAGGTCCCATGGTCATCTCCACCAATCGGAATGTTCGGAGGACGACGGGCCCCCGAGAGGGACTTTCCGCGTTGTGGGCGGGGCGCAGGCCGAGCTGGGGAGTCGGGCCGCGGAGCGTCTGTCTGGTCGGTGCGGTTCGCTCGGCAGCTTCGGCTCTTCCGTGGGAGGTGGGCCCCAGCTCGGTTGCCCGCGGCTGCCAGCGCGCAGGGCCTCCGCCGTCCGCTGCCTGCATGGGCCTGAGTAACCTCTCTGCGCGAAAGCCGTGGTAAGTCCCTCCCGCCCAGGGATGTGGACTCGCCGCGTGGGAGCCCGGAGCGCAGAGAGCTGTGGGTTCCCCTGCCCGGTGGATGCTGGTGTTCCTTAGGGGATCTTCCTGGGTCAGTCCCTTGCCTTGCGTAGCTTCAGCTACCCTGGTGGTTCGCAAATCTCTCGTTAGCCTGAATACCTTTCTTGGGCTCCAGAGCCAACCAACCTAGGCAAATGATTAGTGTGCCTTTTTGAATCAGGTTCATACGCAGGCCTACCCAGCTCTTGTTTTTGGTTAGAGAAAGGAGTCATCCACGTATTCTTCCCGATGAGAGAATCTGGATATCCTTGTTAATCCCCTTTGCTTTGCCAATCTACTTGTTTGCAGCGTTGTCTCCATTTCTTTTATTTACCCTTTGGGGGCGTTATTATGTAACACATACAGAATGATTATCATCTTCATCATTTGACAGCCTAAAGTTAAGCGACTATTAGTGTAACCACTACTAGTTATTCCCACTTTACCTCCCTTTATTCTTTTGTGGATATCCATGTTCCATAACATATGTTAAAAAATCTTTTGTTCATTAAGTGGACTGGTTGAAAATCAATTTGCTTATTAGTTTTTACGGGGCTGTCTACAGTATGGTGTTCTATGTTTATCTATATGCTAGTACCATACTGCTTTAATTACTGTGACTCTGCAGGCAATGTTTTGCATTTATTAAATGTGTCCTCCATCTTTATTCAAAAATATTTTGGTTCTTCAAGATATTTGGCAGTTCCATTTGAATTTGGTACCAGGAATTTAACCTAGAGCTTTCTTGATGCCACACAAATACTGCACAACTGAGCTATGTCTCCAGTCCTATTTTCATACTGATTTGAAGATTGACTACCATTTCTAGGAAAATGGCTTTGGAAATGGAGTTTTATGGAATCTATAGGTTGCTTTGGATAATATTATAATTTTTGTGTCTTCCCGTCCATGAACACAAGATGCCTCTTTCTTTAAGTCTTTATTAATTGCTTTCAGCAATGCTTTTTAGATTTTGGCATTCTTGGTTCATTCACATATTTTGTTGTTGTTGTTTTTCAAGACAGGGTTTCTCTGTGTAGACTGTCCTATAACCCACTCTGTAGACCAGGCTGGCCTCGAACTCACTGAGATCCACCTGCTTCTGCCTCCCAAGTGCTGGGATCAAAGGTGTGAGCCACCAGTGCTCAGGCTTCATTCACACATTTTCATTGGAATTATTTCCTTAATTTCCATAGTTTATTTAAAGTTTAATATTAAAAAAAACATTGATTTTTTTTTCACGTGTTGGTGTAATGCTTGCAATTCACTTATTAATTCTGGTAGTTCTGGCCTCTTTTGATTTTCTACTAGCGGTTGGTGTAGTCTATGACCAAAGACCATTTTACTTCTTTTCCAACAGGATGCCTTTTCTTTTTTCTTGTCAAAGAGCTCTAGCAATTAGTACAATGTTGAACATGAGTAGTAACAGTAAAGTAAAAGTGGACATCCTTGCTTTATATTCCTGATGTTAAGAGGAAAAATGTAGCTTTTGGTTTTGTTTTTCCGAGACAGGGTTTCTCTGTGTAGTTTTGGAGGCTGTCCTGGAACTCACTCTGTAGACCAGGCTGGTCTCGAACTCACAGAGATCCACCTGCCTCTGCCTCCCGAGTGCTGGGATCAAAGGTGCGAGCGCGCACGCGCGCCACCAATGCCCGGCTCAGAAAATATTTTTTTAGCCTTAAATTATTGAGTATGTGTTCACTATGAGTTTTTCTTAAACCCCTTTATCATGTTGAAGAACTTTCTGCCCATTCCTAACTGTTTAAGCATGCTACCATGAGCAGATGCTTTCTCTGCATTGGTTGAGATGATCATGTGCCCAATCCTGTCTTGAATCAATGTACTCTATTGATTGATTTTGTTGAACTACCTTGCATCTATGGAGTAGGCCGAGTCCTACTTGGTCATGGTGAAATTTGTTTAATATGCTTTTGGATTTAATATGTTTATGTTTTGTTGATTATTTTTATATCTAGTATTCAGTGATATTGAGCTATATTTTTATTTCTCTAGAATGCATTTGTCTAATTTTGTTATCAGTAAATGCTGGCTGCATAGAATGTATTAGGAAGCAATCATTCCTCAATTTTTTGCAGACGTTTCAGAAAAAAAATAAAAGAAAAACACTGTTAATTCTTTCTTTAAACATTTAATAGAGCCAAGCAGTGGTGGCACACACCTTTAATTCCAGCACTTGGAAGGCAGAGCCAGGTGGATCTCTGTGAGTTCTAGGCCAGTCTGTTCTTCAAAGTAAGTTCCAGGACAGCCAGGGCTGTCACACAGAGAAACCTTGTCTTGAAAAAAACAAAACAAAAACATAAAACATTTAATAGAATTCATTGATAAAACTATATGCTGTGAGACTTTCCTTTGTTGGGAAATTTTAATTGCTAAATCAGTCTCTTTACTTGGCATAGGGTTATTGAGATTTGCTCTTGAACCAATTTAAGTTGTTTATTTCAAGAGATGTGTCCTTTTGCTCTCTGAGTTTTGACATATAGTTATTGCAGTAGTCTCATTAAAAAAACCTCCATAATGTTGATAGTAATATAGCCCTAGTTTCATTTCTTATTATAGTTATTTGTATGTTGTCTCTTTTCTAATTAGTCTGGCTAAGTGTCAATTTTGTTCTTTTTCAGAATTTTTATTGATGGGGTTTACAGACTAACCATGCCTAGCTCGCTTTGCACTTTTTTTTATTGTTGGTGTGTTTCTTTTGTTGTGTTTTTGAATTTTGAAATGGGGTCTAGCTCAGACTGGCATTGATCCCACTGTTTAGCCAGAGATTGGCCCTGAGTTAGTTATCCTCCTGCCTCTGCCTTTCGAGTACTGGGATTACAAGTGTGCACCATCTCCTCTACCTCACCCTCCTCTGAGCTCTCTTCTTAAATGTAAACTTAGAACTGAATGTCCCACTGCTGATTGTTGTAACTACAGCACATAAAATCTAGCATGTATAGTATGCAGGGTTACTTCTGAGTGAGTGCTTTATAATTCTCTTCGCCTCTCTTTCCTCACCCATTGGTTTTGTATCTCCATGTTTGTAAAGTTTCTAGTTTTCCTCTTCCTGTTGATTTCTAATTTCATCCTAGTAGGTTGAGGGAAATTCCTCTGTGTGAACTTGTAAAATCCATTGGGGCCTGTCTAACATGTTGTCTCTCCTCGTGACTTTGCATATAGCTGGAGAAGAATGTGTGTTTTGTGGTTAGTGTGTGGAATGGCCCATACGTGTATGTTAACCCGAGTTGTTTTTTGTGATTTCAGTCGTGCCCCCCCCCTTTACTTTTCTTACGTGTGGCTGTTCTGCCCACTGTTGAACTTCTATTATTGTGGTGGTTTGCGCTCTCTCTGTTGTTTTTTAAGGCAAGGTTTCTGTGTATCTCTAGCTGTCCTGGAGCTCACTTACTCTGTAGACCAGGCTGACCTTGAATTTAGAGATCCGCTTGTGTCTGCTGGGATTAAAGGTGAGCACCACACTGCTTGATAGAAAACTTGTCTTTACTCATGGTTTCAGAGTTCTCAGTACATCCTAGTCACAGGATGTAACAGAGTAGAGCAGCCAGAAAATGAATGCTTGATCTCTTTCTTCCTTTATCCACCCCCAATGTTGGGGTTAAACCCATAGTCTTATATATGCCCTTGGTTATTTCTTTTGATCATTAGGATGTAAACACAGGCTAGCTACCACTGTTTGATTGTCTATTTTGACACAGTTTTTAAGGGTTTTTTTTTTTTTTTTTTTTTTTTTTGGTTTTTCGAGACAGGGTTTCTCTGTGGCTTTGGAGGCTGTCCTGGAACTTGCTTGGTAGTCCAGGCTGGTCTCGAACTCACAGAGATCCACCTGCCTCTGCCTCTCGAGTGCTGGGATTAAAGGCGTGCGCCACCACCGCCCGGCGTTTTTAAGGGTTTTAAGGGAATACCATCTGTATTGTTTCTTTCACTATTTAGAATCAAAGATTAGAACATTCAAAAGTGTTTGTGTGGAGCAAAGTAGATGTCTGCTGTGCTGATCAGGCTCACAGAAGAGCCAGGAAAATATTAAAACTGTGCTGGGGAGATGGCTCAGTGGTTAAGAGCACTGACTGCTCTTCCAAAAGACCCGGGCTCAATTCCCGACATGGCAACTTTCAGCCATCTGCAGCTCTAGATCCAGGGTGCCTAATGCCTTCTTCTGGCACACACAGAGACTCTTAGTTACAATGCTGTCGGCCAATGTCCAGGGCTTCTCATTGGCTAGTTCTGTCTTAAGTATTAACCCATAACTACTAATATGTATGTTTCTATAAGGT